GTTGGCCGGTGTGGTTCCCAATCAGAGGCAGCTGTAGCTCGTTGTCTCTGATTGGGGACCATACTTAGGCAGCCTATTGGCACTAGTGGGTTGTGGGATCTTGTTCCGTGTAAGGTAAGGTAAGGTAAGGTAAGGTAAGGTAAGGTAAGGTAAGGTAAGGTAAGGTAAGGTAAGGTAAGGTAAGGTAAGGTAAGGTAAGGTAAGGTAAGGTAAGGTAAGGTAAGGTAAGGTAAGGTAAGGTAAGGTAAGGTAAGGTAAGGTAAGGTAAGGTAAGGTAAGGTAAGGTAAGGTAAGGTAAGGTAAGGTAAGGTAAGGTAAGGTAAGGTAAGGTAAGGTAAGGTAAGGTAAGGTAAGGTAAGGTAAGGTGTGTTGTGTTGCCTTGGACTTCACGTTTCGTTTGTTTGTTGTTTTGTCGGTTGTTTATTCATTTAAATAAACAGGTACGTATATCACGCTGCGCCTTGGTCCGTCCCGTCTGTAAACGAACGTGACAGAAGATCCCACCAAACAAGGACCAAGCAGCGTGTCCAGGAGCAGACAGCCTGGACATGGGAGGAGATCCTGGAAGGGAAGGGTTCCTGGACATGGGAGGAGATTCAGGCCGGGATGGATCGCCGTCCTTGGGAGGAGACAGTGGAGGCGCGGTATAGAGAGGAGCAGCGGCAACACAGAAGGCGCCGGCCGAGGAAGAAGCCCGAGAGACAGCCCCAAGAACATTTTTTGGGGGGGGCTAAAAGGGTGGTTGGCGGAGTCTAGGGTTAGAGCAGAGCCAACTCCCCGTACTCACGCGAGAAGGCGTATGACTGGGCAAGCTCCATGTTATGCGGAGCTACGTACTGTGTCGCCAGTGCGCCGGCACAGCCCTATACGTCCTGTGCTGGCACCACGCACGTGCCGTGCGAAGATGGGCATCCAGCCAGGACGGGGTGTGCCGGCTCAATGCTCCTGGTCTCCAGAACGCCTCCTCGGTCCCGCATATCCTGCGCCGGTTCTATGTACTGTATCGCCAGTACGCGTGCACAGCCCAGTGCGTCCTGTGCCAGCGCCCCGCACGTGTAGTGCGAAAGTGGGTAGCCAGCCAGGACGGGTTGTGCCAGCTCTCCGCTCCAGACCTCCAGTCCGCCTTCGCAGTCCGGTCCGGCCCGTTTCTGCTCCTCGCACCAAGCCAGTGGTGCGCGTCGCCAGCCCGGCCCGGCCTGTTCCTGCCCCTCGCACCAAGCCAGTGGTGCGCGTCGCCAGCCCGGTCCGGCCTGTTCCTGTCCCTCGCACCAAGCCAGTGGTGCGCGTCGCCAGCCCGGCCCGGCCTGTTCCTGCCCCTCGCACCAAGCCAGTGGTGCGCGTCGCCAGCCTGGTCCGGCCTGTTCCTGTCCCTCGCACCAAGCCAGTGGTGCGCGTCGCCAGCCCGGCCTGTTCCTGTCCCTCGCACCAAGCCAGTGGTGCGCGTCGCCAGCCCGGCCCGGCCTGTTCCTGCCCCTCGCACCAAGCCAGTGGTGCGCGTCGCCAGCCCGGCCCGGCCTGTTCCTGTCCCTCGCACCAAGCCAGTGGTGCGCGTCGCCAGCCCGGCCCGGCCTGTTCCTGCCCCTCGCACCAAGCCAGTGGTGCGCGTCGCCAGCCCGGTCCGGCCTGTTCCTGTCCCTCGCACCAAGCCAGTGGTGTGCGTCGCCAGCCCGGCCCGGCCTGTTCCTGCCCCTCGCGCCAAGCCAGTGGTGCGCGTCGCCAGCCCGGCCCGGCCTGTTCCTGTCCCTCGCACCAAGCCAGTGGTGCACGTCGCCAGCCCGGCCCGGCCTGTTCCTGCTCCTCGCACCAAGCCAGTGGTGCATGTGTCCAGTCCGGCACGGCCCGTGCCTGTTCCACCGGTGCCTGGTTCGGCACCGGTCAGCTGCTCTACTCCGGAGCCAGAGCAGTCCGCTCCACCGGTGCCCTAGTTCAGCTCCGGTCAGCTGCTCCACTCCGGAGCCAGAGCAATCTGCTTCACCGGGGTCCAGTCCAGCTCCGGTCAGCGGCTCCACTCCGGAGCCAGAGCAGTCCGCTCCACCGGTGCCTGATCCAGCTCCAGTCAGCTGCTCCACTCCGGAGCCAGAGCAGTCCGCTCCACCGGGGTCTAGTCCAGATCCGGTCAGCGGCTCCACTCCGGAGCCAGAGCAGTCCGCTCCACCGGTGCTCAGTCCAGCTCCGGTCAGCGGCTCCAGTCCGGAGCCTGAGTAGTCCGCTCCACCGGTGCCTAGTCCAGCTCCGGTCAGCGGCTCCAGTCCAGACCCAGACGTCAGCCCCTCTCCAGGTTCGGGGTCTCCCACACCAGGGTCCAGACAGGGCTTGGAGTATAGTGGGAGGAAGGAGAGGGGAAGCAACGCGCCGAGGTCTAGACCAGACCAGGGGCGCAACAGGGAGGCGAAGAGTGAGAGGTCGTCACGCCCTGAGCCGGATCCGCCTCCAAGGTGGAATGCCCACCCGGCCCCTACCCTGTTATGTGTATGTTGTGCGGTCGGAGTCCGCACCTTTGGGGGGGGGTACTGTCACGCCCTGACTCTGGGGACTCTTATTTGTTGAGTCAGGGTGTGTATTTTCTATGTGGTGATTGTCTATGTTGTATATTCTATTATGTGTATTTCTATGTTGGCCGGTGGTTCCCAATCAGAGGCAGCTGTAGCTCGTTGTCTCTGATTGGGGACCATACTTAGGCAGCCTATTGGCACTAGTGGGTTGTGGGATCTTGTTCCGTGTAAGGTATGTTGTGTTGTGCTGCCTTGGACTTCACGTTTCATTTGTTTGTTGTTTTGTCGGTTGTTTATTCATTTAAATAAACATGTACGTATATCACGCTGCGCCTTGGTCCGTCCCGTCTGTAAACGAACGTGACATTGAAGGACAAAATGTACTTCAGGAATGAAAAGACTCCTCAGACTCAAGTCATATTCTTGAAAACGTTCATCCTATCACTTGGTCCTCTGTAGCTCAGCTGGTAGAGCACGGCGCTTGTAACGCCAAGGTAGTGGGTTCGAACCCCGGGACCACCCATACACAAAAAAAATGTATGCACGCACGACTGTAAGTCGCTTTGGATAAAAGCGTCTGCTAAATGGCATATTATTATTACTTGAAATTCACCTTCCTAGGTAGTGAAATATTTGTGCCTAAGATTACATATTTCGTCATTACATTCAATACAATACAACTCCCCCACCAAGACGGAAAGACAAACAAGTATCGGAAAGATCAACAAGTTATGAGGTTAATATCAATGTCAAATGATTAGACCATTTAACATTGAGCCAACACTATATCTATTGTTTTGGTCCTTGCTGTTTCCCAGAAAATTGTGTTTCTCACCTGACTTTTATTTAGGGCATAATATTATAATGTATGGTATGTGGTGGTGTACTGTAGAGGTTTATATTTTCTGACCTTGTATTCAAAAGTAGGATGAACATTAGTTGATGGCATATGAATAGGGCCAGGAGTTTTTCCTAACCTGGTGACATGACCAGGAAAACCTCCAGATTCTATTTATACATAACGTGGTCAGGAAAATTCATAGCTTCATATGAAACCTATAACCTAAAAGGATATGTATAAGATTGTCATCGTAATATGTTATTCTGATTATTATGTAGATATATTTAAAATGTCCCACATAGCCTACATACTGTACATATATTGTATTTTAGGCAGAAGCATGGTTTCTGTCCCTGTATTCTAACTGCATACCGTATATTGAAATGTAAGCTATTAATTTCACAACTATTATTCATAATACTATTCATAATAACAGTCATGGGGAAATCTTTTTTGATTGATTTCTTGCATTTCTTTCTCGATACAAAGTGCTGACAAGTATGTTTGAAGTTAAACCAAAAGTCATGATGCGGTATTATATTAAACGGTAATCATGTAAGCGAACCATATCTGAACATTTATTTTATTTTGTCCCATCGTTTGATGATCTGTGAGCATTTCACTGACTAGCTATCTGGACCATTCCAAGAAAATAACTCCACTTGTCTGCAAGAGATCAAAACAACCCCTCCTTGTCTTCACCCCATCTCCGCCCCTCACCTCCACCCCCCTCTGCTATTTTCACCCTCCTCCTTCACTTCACCCCACCTCCGCCCCTCACCTCCACCCCGCTCTGCTATCTTCACCCTACTCCTCTTTCACTTCACCCCACCTCTGCCCCTCACCTCCACCCCCCTCTGCTATCTTTACCCTCCTCCTCCTTCACTTCACTTCACCCCACCTCCGCCCCTCACCTCCACCCCTTTCTGCTATCTTCACCCTCTTCCTCTTTCACTTCACCCCACTTCCGCCCCTCACCTCAACCCCCCTCTGCTATATTTACCCTCCTCCTTCACTTCACTTCACTTCACTTCACCCCACCTCCGCCCCTCACCTCCACCCCTTTCTGCTATCTTCACCCTCCTCCTCTTTCACTTCACCCCACCTCCGCCCCTCACCTCCACCCCCTCTGCTATCTTTACCCTGCTCCTCCTTCACTTCACCCCACCTCCGCCCCTTACCTCCACCCCCCTCTGCTATCTTTACCCTGTTCCTCCTTCACTTCACTTCACCCCACCTCCGCCCCTCACCTCCACCCCCTCTGCTATCTTTACCCTGCTCCTCCTTCACTTCACCCCACCTCCGCCCCTCACCTCCACCCCACTCTGCTATCTTTACCCTCCTCCTCTTTCACTTCACCCCACCTCCGCCCCTCACCTCCACCCCCTCTGCTATCTTTACCCTCCTCCTCCTTCACTTCACTTCACCCCACCTCCGCCCCTCACCTCCACCCCTTTCTGCTATCTTCACCCTCCTCCTCTTTCACATCACCCGACCGCCGCCTCTCACCTCCACCTCCCTCCTTGTCTTCGGCCCTCCACCTCCTCCTTCCCTCCTCCACCTCCCTCCTCCTCATCCACCTCACCCCTCCTCCTCCCTTCTTATTCCTTATCAGCACTCTTACGTAAGCCCTAGACTTAAGAGCGCTAACAACCCACTGGCTGTTTCCAGTCTCACTCATTCTAACCCAACACCATGGCTCTATCAGAGTCTAAGACCGAGCTATGGGACCTGGATATCAGTGTGATCCAGCCAGAGGGGAAAGGTCCAGGTCCAGCCACAGATGGAACCAGCGGTACCAAGCCATTCAGGGGTGCGTTCGAACGTTATGTCCAGCCCTGTCTGGCAGAGCTGCTGGGTTCATCTCTGTTTATCTTTGTGGGGTGTCTGTCGGTGATCGAGAACACGGAGGGCACCGGGAGGCTGCAGCCGGCCCTGGCACATGGCCTGGCCCTGGGCATCGTCATCGCCGTGCTGGGTGAGATCAGGTACGGCTGGGGGACCCCCTGGAGGTTGGTGGTGAGAGGCTGGAAGGTGATAGCCTGGTAATAGATCTGTTTGTGTTGTATAGCCAAGCTCTCTGGCCGTGATATGGTATAGGTTTTGGGACTAGGCTGGGAAGTTGATGCTCAGGAGTTCAAACGTTAGCAGAGTAAGAGAAGAGTCTGTGCCTAAGCTTTCAACATGCAGTATGTTGGTGTGTAAGAGATAAAAAACGCACAACAGAATGTTATTATCACACTTGCATCATTTTGATCAGGCAATTTACATTAGCATTTTTTCTTACTTAGGTATTATGGTTTTATTGTTGCTACATGCCTCTATATTTAAAATGGTTTGTCTTGTTTTCTAAATGATGTGCCTCATCTAAAAAAAACTATTGGGAACTATTTCAAATAAAATAACTTAATTAAAATGTATTACGGTAATTCATTTATTCAATGTCTCTCTCTGCAGTGGGGGGCACTTCAACCCAGCAGTGTCTGTGTCTGTGTTTCTGATCGGGGGTCTCAACATCATACTGCTGGTCCCCTACATACTGGCTCAGATGTGTGGAGGGATGATAGGGGCGGGACTAGCCAAGGTGGGTACCCCTCTGTAGCCTACTAAAATGTGAGTTGCACTGTTTCTACTAGTACTAACTTGGTATTTAATTGGATTTGAATTTAAATGTTTTTCTTTCTTATTATTGAAATTGAAAACATAAATGTATACATATACATTTATTTCACTTTAATATGAAATTATTTGGTAACGATGTGTACTTTCTAGTACTAACATCCAATAATTCAATATACAGTGGGGGAAAAAAGTATTTAGTCAGCCACCAATTGTGCAAGTTCTCCCACTTAAAAAGATGAGAGAGGCCTGTAATTTTCATCATAGGTACAGTGAGGGAAAAAAGTATTTGATCCCCTGCTGATTTTGTACGTTTGCCCACTGACAAAGACATGATCAGTCTATCATTTGAATGGTGGGTTTATTTGAACAGTGAGAGACAGAATAACAACAAAAAAATCCAGAAAAACGCATGTCAAAAATGTTATCAATTTATTTGCATTTTAATGAGGGAAATAAGTATTTGACCCCTCTGCAAAACATGACTTAGCACTTGGTGGCAAAACCCTTGTTGGCAATCACAGAGGTCAGACATTTCTTGAAGTTGGCCACCAGGTTTGCACACATCTCAGGAGGGATTTTGTCCCACTCCTCTTTGCAGATCTTCTCCAAGTCATTAAGGTTTCGAGGCTGACGTTTGGCAACTTGAACCTTCAGCTCCCTCCACAGATTTTCTATGGGATTAAGGTCTGGAGACTGGCTAGGCCACTCCAGGACCTTAATGTGCTTCTTCTTGAGCCACTCCTTTGTTGCCTTGGCCGTGTGTTTTGGGTCATTGTCATGCTGGAATACCCATCCACGACCCATTTTCAATGCCCTGGCTGAGGGAAGGAGGTTCTCACCCAAGATTTGACGGTACGTGGCCCCGTCCATCGTCCCTTTGATGCGGTGAAGTTGTCCTGTCCCCTTAGCAGAAAAACACCCTGCAAAGCATAATGTTTCCACCTCCATGTTTGACGGTGGGGATGGTGTTCTTGGGGTCATAGGCAGCATTCCTCCTCCTCCAAACACGGCGAGTTGAGGTAATGCCAAAGAGCTCGATTTTGGTCTCATCTGACCACAACACTTTCACCCAGTTCTCCTCTGAATCATTCAGATGTTCATTGGCAAACTACAGACGGGCCTGTATTTGTGCTTTCTTGAGCAGGGAGACCTTGCGGGTGCTGCAGGATTTCAGTCCTTCACGGCATAGTGTGTTACCAATTGTTTTCTTGGTGACTATGGTCCCAGCTGCCTTGAGATCATTGACAAGATCCTCACGTGTAGTTCTGTGCTGATTCCTCACCGTTCTCATGATCATTGCAACTCCACGAGGTGAGATCTTGCATGGAGCCCCAGGCCGAGGGAGATTGACAGTTCTTTTGTGTTTCTTCCATTTGTGAATAATCGCACCAACTGTTGTCACCTTCTCACCAAGCTGCTTGGCGATGGTCTTGTAGCCCATTCCAGCCTTGTGTAGGTCTACAATCGGGTCCCTGACATCCTTGGAGAGCTCTTTAGTCTTGGCCATGGTGGAGAGTTTGGAATCTGATTGATTGATTGCTTCTGTGGACAGGTGTCTTATATAAAGGTAACAAGCTGAGATTAGAAGCATTCCCTTTAAGAGTGTGCTCCTAATCTCAGCTCGTTACCTGTATAAAAGACACCTGGGAGCCAGAAATCTTTCTGATTGAGAGGGGGTCAAATACTTATTTCCCTCATTAAAATGCAAATCAATTTATAACATTTTTGACATGCGTTTTTCTGGATTTTTTTGTTGTTATTCTGTCTCTCACTGTTCAAATAAACCTACCATTAAAAATATAGACTGATCATTTCTTTGTCAGTGGGCAAACGTACAAAATCAGCAGGGGATCAAATACTTTTTTCCCTCACTGTACACGTCAACTATGACAGACAAATTGAGGAGAAAAAATCCAGAAAATCACATTGTAGGATTTTTTATGAATTTATTTGCAAATTATGGTGGAAAATAAGTATTTGGTCACCTAAAAACAAGCAAGATTTCTGGCTCTCACAGACCTGTAACTTCTTCTTTAAGAGGCTCCTCTGTCCTCCACTCGTTACCTGTATTAATGGCACCTGTTTGAACTTGTTATCAGTATAAAAGACACCTGTCCACAACCTCAAACAGTCACACTCCAAACTCCATTATGGCCAAGACCAAAGAGCTGTCAAAGGACACCAGAAACAAAATTGTAGACCTGCACCAGGCTGGGAAGACTGAATCTGCAATAGGTAAGCAGCTTGGTTTGAAGAAATCAACTGTGGGAGCAATTATTAGGAAATGGAAGACATGCAAGACCACTGATAATCTCCCTCGATCTGGGGCTCCACGCAAGATCACACCCCGTGGGGTCAAAATGATCACAAGAACGGTGAGCAAAAATCCCAGAACCACACGGGGGGACCTAGTGAATGACCTGCAGAGAGCTGGGACCAAAGTAACAAAGCCTACCATCAGTAACACACTACGCCGCCAGGGACTCAAATCCTGCAGTGCAAGACGTGTCCCCCTGCTTAAGCCAGTACATGTCCAGGCCCGTCTGAAGTTTGCTAGAGTGCATTTGGATGATCCAGAGGAGGATTGGGAGAATGTCATATGGTCAGATGAAACCAAAATAGAACTTTTTGGTAAAAGCTCAACTTGTCGTGTTTGGAGGACAAAGAATGCTGAGTTGCATCCAAAGAACACCATACCTACTGTGAAGCATGGGGGTGGAAACATCATGCTTTGGGGCTGTTTTTCTGCAAAGGGACCAGGACGACTGATCCGTGTAAAGGAAAGAATGAATGGGGCCATGTATCGTGAGATTTTGAGTGAAAACCTCCTTCCATCAGCAAGGGCATTGAAGATGAAACGTGGATGGGTCTTTCAGCATGACAATGATCCCAAACACACAGCCCGGGCAACGAAGGAGTGGCTTCGTATGAAGCATTTCAAGGTCCTGGAGTGGCCTAGCCAGTCTCCAGATCTCAACCCCATAGAAAATCTTTGGCGGGAGTTGAAAGTGCGTGTTGCACAGCGACAGCCCCAAAACATCACTGCTCTAGAGGAGATCTGCATGGAGGAATGGGCCAAAATACCAGCAACAGTGTGTGAAAACCTTGTGAAGACTTACAGAAAACGTTTGACCTGTGTCATTGCCAACAAAGGGTATATAACAAAGTATTGAGAAACTTTTGTTATTGACCAAATACTTATTTTCCACCATAATTTGCAAATAAATTCATTAAAAATCCTACAATGTGATTTTCTGGATTTTTTTTCTCATTTTGTCTGTCATAGTTGACGTGTACCTATGATGAAAATTACAGGCCTCTCTCATCTTTTTAAGTGGGAGAACTTGCACAATTGGTGACTGACTAAATACTTTTTTCCCCCACTGTATAGTATTTGGTAACTACCTGGTAGGCCTACTGTCATAAAGACTATGTAAACATTAGGAAAATATTCTCTAGATATTTCACACTTTCAGCAGTTTGATCGTCCCATAATACACAACACTTCTACATTCCACACTTATCCTAACAGTATGATCATCCTCATCCTGTCAACACTTCAGATATGGATCATGACAATAATCGCTTTCTACACCTACACTGCTCTTCTCCTGGCTGCTATCAGGACAGTAAAATGATAAAGCAATTGAAGTCCATGAGGGTTGAGTGACCAGGCAGTCACCCACTTTACTCTATTGGCAGTCATTTACATGTACAGTATCTGTAGAGCTGAACAAGGGTGAGTTGAGTCTGTGTTTAACCACCTTGTAAAGTCAAGAGCTTGTTGGTCATTACCCAGCTAGCACATTAGGTTCCTTGGAAGTTGTGGGAACATACATTTTTGGTTTCCCATTGGTTCTGGGAATGAAGCCATATGTTTCCTGACCGGTAAAATTTGGAACATTTCTTAACACTCTCGGAACAATTTGAGAACATGGCTTTAAATAGAACCATGGAGGAAACCTGTAAGAAACATTATGCAGAAGGACTGAAATTCCCCCAAAATAACATTGTTTCTTAACGTTCTCTGAACTATTTGAGAACATTCCTAATGTCAAACCAGTTGGAGAACGTTCCTATAACATTACCAACATTTTAGTTAAATGTAACCATGTTTGAACTTTAAGGAAACGTTTTGTAAAAGTAATGAAATACCAAGAAATGTCAAGTTCCTTAAATGTGCTGAGAATGTTCCAAAGTCAAGCAACCATCCTGCACCATTCCCATAAAGTTGTGAGAAGGTTGTATGCAAAATAACCATAGGACAACCACGCTCTCACCAAGCTCTAAGAAAGATATGGTTCTCAGAACGTTATGTGCTAGCTGGGTATGCATCACCTGACCAACACATGATAGTATCTCATTGAGAGTGGAAGAAATGGACTGCAAGATGTCTAGAAAATAACACAGATATACACTTTACCTATCTATTGCTGTGTTGTGTCTCAATATATATATATATATATATATATATATATATATATATATATATATATATATATATATATATATATAAATATATATATTTTTTATCATACTTGAAAAGACAAACTCTGAACAGAGGTAGAATATGAAAGTAGCAGTCGATAAGCAAATGTTAAATAATGTTCTTCTGTATCTGAACCTATACTTTTCTCCCTACAGATCCTATATTAATATCAGTAATATCTCCTTCTCCAGGTGATTTCCCCAGCCATGAACTATGCCAAAGTTTCAGGGGCAGCATTCAACACAGTGCAGGCAGACACCCAGATAGTACCGGCCACGGTGGCAGAGGTGATCATGACTCTGTTCCTGACGATGGTGGTGTGTATGGGGGCCGTGAATGGACGCACCCGCAGCCTGCTGGCCCCTCTCTGCATTGGGCTGACCGTGACTGCAGACATCCTGGCTGGGTGAGGACCCATGGGATAGAAGTTGTGGGGTGAGGTGGGTGGGGTGATTGTGGAGTGGAGTAGATTGATGTAAGGTGTGCGGGTAGAGGATAGGATGGGAGGAGGGCTGGAAAGGTTTGACAAATTAGCCTAGAGAAATACTGTACTGTACATTCTGCAGGACAACTTTTCAGGAACAAACATAGAGACGTTTGATGTAATGGCCTACCTTTGTACAGTATAGTTAACTTCCACTGAGATAAATCCCTGTATACTACCAATAAAACAGTACACCACAATACACCCCCAACTGTGTACCGTAAGTCACCACATACTCTATCATTCATTCATGGATCACTTTTATATCATGTCCTCTACAGGGGAGCGGTGTCTGGGGCATGTATGAACCCAGCTCGTGCCTTTGGACCAGCCGTGGTGGCCAACTACTGGAGCTACCACTGGATCTACTGGGTGGGACCCATGTCTGGAGCCCTGCTAACCGCCAGCTTCATACGGTACTGTACAGCTCTGATCTTCTGGGGCCTGGATACCTGGCTGTTTACATCATTGTCCTGTTTGGTTTTAAACAGAAACAGACTGGATCCCAGGCTACTATTGAAACACTTTGTTGGGGAAATCAGCCTTAATCTTTGTTCTTGAAATGACCATTAATAGAAAAATAATTATCCAACTGGAGCTCCATAGATTAGAATGGAATATATTTACTATTGAATGGAAGTTTCCTACACAAGGTGCAAGTGTGGGGATTAGAAGCCTTGTCTGACATAAATTCTTGCAAATCCGTAAGAGAATCCACCACCACCATACAGGGATATGTTGTCTTGTGCGATAAAGCACTGTATCCTAACATGGCTGTTAGACAGGGCTGTTTGTCCTCAACTTGATGAACATTAAGTTAAATAAATAAAAAATAGAAACTAACTGTCCCTCTAAAATCAATGGCTAAAGATGTGATGGAAAGTTACTCTTACATTGGGTGCTTATATACAATACTTCAGTCTAGAGTCGTTAACCTAGTTTTAACAATGTGTGGATTTGACACCTTTTTATCTTGATATTCCTTGTTAAAGTATTGTGTTGTCTAAGACATATTTTTAGGAATTATTTACATTTATGGTAAAAAAAAAAATAATAATTACAAAAAAAATGTGTGGAACCAACAATGTGTCGAGTGATGTTACATTCAACAATTCTGTATTATTTTGATGGTGTTTTTTCAATTTTCAGATTACTGCTTGGGGATGAGAAAACCCGAGTTCTCTTGAGGTGATACAGATGTAGGTTTCTAGTTCAAGTCCATTCAAACATCAATTTCCAAAATCCACATAAATTCGAACAGTATTTTTGTATTGCTATTTCCATGTGTCTTAGTTTAAAATAATCGTACCAATTCAACTTTATTGTATACCGGTATATATGATGATCATCTATTGTCCATAAATGTAATGTATTTTATTCAATTCCATTTGTATAAATTAATTTCTGTACATTAAATATTGCATTGCATATTTATTTATATGAATGATGCCTTTAGACATAGTAAAAGTTACTTCTGGCCAATATTCTGTGTTTTATATTGCCACCTTTTGGTGATGTGCTGAACTACAGCCTTGCATTGGTCTGACTCTCACTTGTTCTGTGATACAACCTTCCATATGCATCATGCCTTTTCACTGATTATCTGCACACAGACATCCAGATACTAGCCACATTAGATAACATTGATTTTTACACTGTAATTGCTATTTTGACTGAAAGTCTAGCAGGATCTGTCATGATATGAGTGTCTCAGCCATAGAAATATAATTACTAGAAAGGACATAGCCCATCAGACTACCGGTCCTCCCATTATGGCCTCATTGACTTGAATGGGGACCACTCTTCTAGTAATTATATTTATATGGCAGACACTCATTTGAGACAGTAGTATGTGAACATTCAAAAATGATGCAGTGAAGATTCAAGAAATGAAGTATAAACGTGTACAACACAGCAGAGGCATCGTCATGTCCATTTATTGATTTGTACTTTGGAAATGTAGAAGATACTGTTTCTTTCATGCGCAATTAATACAAATTAATTATTCAATTAATTCATTAATTCCATTAGTGCCCCCTCAATAATAAGTACATACATGATGCCTGTAAGCGCAGTAACAGTCTGATTTTGCCACATTCTACACATTTACAATGTCAATTTAGCACCTGTTATTTGCTGATGGGTGGGTCTACCATTTAGGACAAATAAGATATTATGCTAAAGTGTAAAAAGCCAATTTCATTGGATTGTCTTTCACTCCCTTCAGAGATAACAGCAGCAGACTTTGCACAGGTGCAGACCTTGGTCAAACTGTCTAGTTTTAATGTTTTATCTTATCTAGCGGGGACTGGACAACATCAATGACCTATGTATGATTAATACAAGCAGGTTAACCAAGATTACACTTTTTTGCTTGGCCTGGAAATCTAGAACGTTCTGTCTCGTAGTAGGCTGCTGTATTAACAAAGTAACAAAATGAGTTCTTTATTTAAATTGTTAAAAGATGTCATAATGATATTGACATATGCTCTATGCTGAAAATATTGTTTTCAAATCAGTGCCAACAAAGCATCTGTCTGCTTGATGATTACTATACTTTTATACTGTAAACTCGTTGTCTGGTTGTCTGTTGTACTGTGTTCACTAGAGTAAACTGCCTTGGATTAATCATAAAATGAATATCAGTGTCAAAGAGTCCATCATTGCTCAATGGAGCGATTCAATTTTATGCTCTCTCTCTCTCTCTCTCTCTCTCTCTCTCTCTCTCTCTCTCTGTCTCTCCACTCTCTATCTCGCCCTCTCGTTCTTTGAACTTACCAAAGTTCAAGTGATTAGCAACGCAAAAAGGTAGATATTTTGACACACACCTGCGGACATTATCGCCAGTGCTGCACTGTAACTCTAGATACAAAGACGCCTCTCTCTCATCTATTCTCTCTACAAACTCCTCCATTCTCTCTCTCTCTCTCTCTCTCTCTCCAAACTACTCCATTTACTCTATATCTCTCTCCTCTATTCTCTCTCTCTCTCCTCTATTTTATCTCTATCTCTCCAAACTCCTCTCCACTATGACAGAAGAGACGATGGAACTGCGTGACGTTGGGACATCCCTGATGGCATCAGACTCTAAGAAAGCACTGGTCAAGCCTCACAACAAGTTGGAGCGCCTGGTCCAGCCGTGCTGGTGGGGACCATGTTCTTTGTGTTCATCGGCTGTGTGTCGGTCATAGAGAACGTGGAGGCAGCAGGGAGGCTGCAGCCAGCTCTTGTCCATGGTCTGGCTGTGGCGGTCATGGTGGCTTGCATGGCAGAGATCAGGTGAGGAGATGGGTCTGTGTTTTTATATACAGTGTATTGACACACTGTCTCACTGTACTGTAAGCTGTTTTGGATAAAAGTGTCTGCAAAGTGTCACATATTACATTACAGTGTTGTACTTTGGTCTCCTTTTGAGATGAACGTTAATAATTTGTTTTCAATAGAGCATTTATATTTCTCATGAACAGTATTTTGTGTGCTATATATGAGTGTAATGAATGTATTTGAGTGCAATGCATGCTCGTTATTCCATCATATTGGCAGTGTTCTATATTGTTTCAATATTCGGGTCAAAATACTGAAAACATATACGGCGTGGAAAACCCATAAGTCCCATATTATTTTTGTGGTGATTATGTGTTTCTTCGTCGTGTGCAGAGTTAAAAAACAAGGTTGTAAAACCATTCTCATTCCAGCGAGTGCCATTCAACTCATAAACAGTGGGCATTATGGTGTAATGTGTTACGATTTCACAGATGCACCTGACACATATCCCAAGTTTATAAAGAAACTGTGACTCCATTCATATTGTTATTCCTAATAATTGAGTGAACATATTAACAATGTCTAATCAATATCTAAAGCCAATCTCCTTGAACTGATACAAAGGTGAAAGTCTGAAGTTGTGGGTGTGTAATGTAAAACTGTGAAATATACTCGTAAAACCCAACCCTCCTGGGCTATCTGACCTTTCTTCTGCTATTTCTCTCTGACCTCCACAGCGGCTCCCATTTTAACCCCCCGTTTACCATGGCGATCTACCTGTGTGGAGGCATGAAGCTGAATATGGTGGTGCCCTACCTCATCAGTCAGCTCATAGGGGGTGTGATAGGTGCTTCTATGTCAAAGGTTGGGGTTAAACCTGATATCAGGGCATTTGCATGCCGTCAAGGCATTTCATTGGTTCCCCTATCCATTCCACTCCCCATCAGAGCACTTGATAGTCGACCATTAGGGTCCGGGTTGGTTAAGGAGGTTACTGTACCAGTCACCATGATTAAACAGGAGACGCATGTTGAGCATATCACTTTTTTGATTATTGAGTCTGCTGTTTACCCTGTAGTCTTAGGTATTCCGTGGTTAGCCCTTCACAACCCCAATTTTTCATGGCCGCAGAGGGTTCTTACGGGGTGGTTGCGTGAGAGTCCGGGTAGGTGTCTAGGTGTTTCCGTTGGCGCGACCACAGTGGAAAGTCCAGACGGTACCCCCACCGTGGTCATTCCACCCGAATGCCATGATCTGGCACTCACGTTTTTCCAAGATGCAAGCGACTAAATTACCACCTCATCGGGAGGGGGATTGCGTGATAAACCTTCGGGTAGACGCTGTACCTCCCAGGAGTCATGTGTATCCCCTGTCGCAGGCTGAAACGGAGGCTATGGAAACATACGTCACCGAGTCCCTGCGCCAGGGGTATATATACGTCCCTCCACTTCACCTGCTTCCTCAAGTTTCTTCTTTGTGAAGAAGAAAGATGGCAGTTTACGCCCGTGCATTGATTATCAACCACTGAATAAGGTGACGGAACGATTTAGTTATCCTCTTCCCCTCATTCCTTCAGTGATTGAGTCAATGCATGGGGCCCATCTTTTCACCAAATTAGACCTCAGGAGTGCCTACAACCTGGTGCGTATTCGGGAAGGGGATGAGTGGAAAACAGCATTCAGCACAACCTCGGGGCATTATGAATACCTGGTGATGCCCTACGGTTTGATGAATGCTCCATCCGTTTTCCAGTCCTTTGTGAACGAGGTGTTTCGGGACATGCTTGGTCGCGGTGTGGTGGTCTACATCCTGGTGTATTCCACTACACGCGCAGAGCATGTGTCCCTGGTTCGCAAGGTACTGGTCCGACTGCTGGAGAAGTATCTTTATGCCAAGGCAGAGAAGTGTGAGTTTTTCCAGCAGTCAATCTCCTTCCTCGGATGCCGCATTACTACCACAGGTGTGGAGATGGAGGGAGATTTTCAGCCGTGCGTAATTGGCTGACTCCAACCACGGTGAAGGAGGTGCAGCGCTTCCTTGGCTTTGCCAACTACTATCGGAGGTTTATTCGGGGCTTTGGCAAGGTCGCAACTCCCATTACCTCCTTGTTGAAGGGTGGGCCGTCCCGGCTCCGCTGGTCTGCTGAGGCTGATTTGGCCTTCAGTAGATTGCGGGGTCTGTTCACCTCAGCCCCGGTACTGGCTCACCCCGATTCATCACTACCGTTCGTAGTGGAGGTGGATGCGTCCGAGGTAGGGATAGGTGCTGTCTTATCCCAACGCTCGGGCACGCCACCCAAGCTCCGCCCCTGTGCCTTCTTTTCGAAGAAGCTCAGCTCGGCGGAGCAGAACTACGGCGTTGGTGATCGGGAGCTGCTGGCTGGGGGTCTCGGTCAGCCTGACCTCTGGATTTCACTCCGAGAGTAATGGGCAGGTGGAAAGGGTGAATCAAGATGTGGGTAGGTTCCTGCGGACCTACTGTCAGGACCGGCCGGGGGAGTGGTCGGTGTTCCTGCCATGGGCAGAATACGCTCAGAACTCTCTCCGCCACTCCTCCACTAACCTAACACCCTTACAATGTGTTTTGGGTTACCAACCGGTCCTGGCACCGTGGCACCAGAGCCAGACCGAGGCTCCTGCGGTGGATGACTGGTTTCAGCGCGCAGAGGAGACTTGGGACGCTGCCCACGTTCGCCTCCAGCGCGTCGTCAGAAGGGTCTGGCTCTCGACCCGGAATCTACCCCTCCGCCTGCCCTGCCGGAAGCTGAGCCCGCGGTTTGTGGGGCCGTTTAAAGTCCTGAGGAGGATAAACGAGGTTACTTACAGGTTGTTACTCCCCCCTGATTACCGTATTAACCCCTCGTTTCATGTGTCTCTCCTGAGGCCGGTGGTAGCTGGTCCGCTCCAGGAGTCTGAGGTGCGGGAGGTTCCTCCACCTCCTCTGGACATCGAGGGGGCCCTGGCGTACTCGGCCCGTTCCATACTGGATTCGAGGCGTCGGGTGGTGGGCCTTCAGTATTTCGTGGAGTGGGAGGGTGCGGTCCGGAGGAACGGTGCTGGGTCCCAAGGAGGGACATCCTCGATCCCTCCCTGTTGAGGGATTTCCACCGTCGCCATCCGACTCGCCCTGCTCCGTGTCCTCCTGGCCGTCCCCGGCACACTGCTGGAGCCGCGCGTCAAGGGGGGGGGGGGGGGGGGGGGGGTACTGTCACGACTTCCGCCGAGGCTGCCTCCCCTCCTTGTTCGGGCAGGTTTCGGCGTTCGTCGTCACCGGCTTACTAGCTACTGCCGATCCCATTCTCATCACTCCACTTGTCATGTCTTGTCAAACACATACACCTGGTGCTCATTCCCTTAATTAGTATGTGTATAAGTGTTCCCTCTGTTCCCCTTGTCTTTGTGAGTGATTGTTTCATTGTTTTTATTGCCAAGGTGGAATATTTCGTTTTGACGCTGGGTGCGTTTTATTTATGTAAACGGAATAAACTCTGGACTTCGGTGTTTTACCTCCTGCGCCTGACTCCTTCATTCACACCTCTTCACAGGAGGTATAATTTTGTCTTGCACCTTGAAATAATTTGAAATGCAGAATTTTTTTGGGGGGGGATTGAATCAAATCAAAACTGATGCAAAAAATATATATATTCACAGCTACAGTGATTAGATATGCAGACAACAGACATGACCCCAGTTTAGCTCATCAGACAATTAATTGGGTTTTTGTAGTAGTATAATGACACCACTGCCAGTAAATGAACCTGAATCCATTGTTCCTCAGCTGATGACCACAACAGAGAACTACTCCAAGGCCCAGGGGGCAGCGTTTGCCCTGCTGCAGTCACAAGATCAGCTGTGGGGGGCTCTGTTTGGGGAGATGGCCATGACCTGCCTGGTCACCATGGTGGTGCTGCTGGGGGCGGTCAACGCCAAGAGTAGCAGCCCCATGGTGTCCTTCATGGTGGGCTGCACTGTCATCATCAACATCCTGGCTGGGCGAGTTACTGAAAGGGCCAAGAGTGGAGTTTTTCCATTGTAAGGTGGAATTTTCTTTACTGTAACTAAGCACCAAGTTTTTCCTGGCTACATGACCTGGTCAGGTCTTGCTATAGGGTTACTAGGGCCTGGAGGTTTTCCTGGGCCTGGTACAAGTAATTCCTAAAAAAACAGTTTGTTCTCTTAATAATCAACCTGGATAGATAATGTTTGGAAAAAGTTGATTTGAAGGTTTGATTATTAACTATTTATAAACCACTATTATATAATTTGTTACCTATTAAATAGAGTTTGTTATAAATGATTTACATGGACTTAACTTGCATTATCATACACTGTTTATAAATATATAAACAAATGATATACTGATTTATAAAATGTTAACTAATGATGAACAAAGAAATAATGAATGATAAACAGACGTTCAAATGAAGTTGCTATCAACGTTTACATCCACAACTGAAGATATGGAACAGCCACTGCTAAAATGTGCATTCTTGTGACATACAGATTAGATCATCATTTTAGATAGGTAGTTCAGATAACACGTTTATTACATTGCTATTATGGCCTTCTGGGCATTTCTAAGTCATGTATTTACTGTTCCCACACTACACCATGAGATTATAGCAAAACATGAAATACTTGTTATCTCAACCTTTAGTTTCATAACATCATGGGTAGAGATACAGCACATGGTTGTTTTGATGGACATGATTCTGCTGCATACCTGGAGATAATAACGCTTTCTACTATCATGGTTCTAATACTCTTTGCTGTTATTATTTCTCCAGTGGAGATGTGTCTGGAACCTGTCTGAACCCGGCCAGAGCCCTGGGTCCTGCTATAGTGGCCAACTACTGGACCTACCACTGGGTTTACTGGGTAGGACCTATAACTGGTGGACTGGTGGCTGCTGCACTGGTCAGGTGAGGATAGGCTACACAGAGATCCTACTAAATTACTTCTAAGATGTCATTCAATGAGGCTACGTCCCAGACAGAATAGTCTGGTTCAGCAGCTATACTGTAAAAATGCATATGAGACTGTGCAGGATGATGCATGGAGAAACTGAAGTATGTGCCCACCATTTCACTGTATGTGTTTTCTCATGTGCCTCAATGTGTAGTCTTATTATTACTGATGTGAAAGCGAGCATACTGAATTATGATCTATAATGTCACAATAATACATAATCTTTATAACCTCTTATGTTAGCTGTTTATTTTTCAGACTACTGCTTGGAGATAGGAAGACACGTATTCTCATGAAGTAATACCATATGTCGAGTTGATAGGTCTGAGATTACCACTGTTGTTACAGATATTATCACCATTATTGCTATATTATCACCATTATTGTTATATTATCACCATTGTTGTTGCATATTTTATCACCATTATTATCCTAATTAAAATCATTCAATTCTAAAATAATAATTTCCCAGTATATTTTGGGGAAACTATTTTCCTGTGACTGTTTGAGATTAAAAGCTTTTTATAAAAAAAGTGACAAGCTATTGTCAACCATGTATTTTTAACATACACTTAGTGTACAAAATATTAAGAACACCTGCTATTTCCATGACATAGACTGACCAGGTGAAAGCTATGATCCCTTATTGATGTCACTTGTTAAATCCACTTCAGTCAGTGTAGATGAAGGGGTGGAGACAGGTTAAAGAAGGATTTTTAAGCCTTGAGACAATTGAGACAAAGATTGTATGTGTGCTATTCACAGGGTGAATGGGCAAGAAAAAATATTTAAGAAAGTGATCTTAATGTTTTGTACACTGAGTGTATATCAGTCAAGTTATTCTCAGCATGGAACAGTTTGTGTCAAGGACTGACTTTTGCAAACACCCAGATACTTTGGAAATATTAGAAATGTGGTTATCACTCTCTGTCGGATACTGAGACTAAATTTCAGCATTCCATTTTAGAAGACCAACAAAATAATGGCTGAATGCAGAACATTATGTAGAAAAGAACGTGGAAAAGCAAACTGAATTTCCAACCAGGTGTGTTGTGTATGGAGGGCTTCACCACTTTGTAAAACTTTGGCCCAACTCTCCATCTCATTACCTTATGAATCAGCTGGGGTATAAAAACAACAAAAACAACAAAACAAAATCACTTTCCCCATAAGTCAATTACCAAAAAACACAGCTCAAACGCAAACAACAGACGACAAAATAATGAAGGACCTTTTCCAAACCACAGGGTGCATCTCTGGCATGTCCATGCGTTAGCTTTGTGCTCCCATGCTCCTGGTCCCATAGCCTGTAAAGGAGACCAAGTCTGGTCTGGAGGGTCTCATGCTGTTTCCACATTGTACCCCAGGCCTCCCCACAGCAGTGGCCCACATGGGAAAGCTGGCCAGGCGGTGGGATAAACCAATTACCCCCCAGATGGAAGGGACTCCTGCCGGCACACCATCCGAGGGGCTCCCGGCCTCCCGCTTCCAGGCGCTCCTGGAAAACCCCAGGACGTCGTTCCCTCAGAGCCCGGTTGGAGAATTCCCAAAGATGGGAATTGTGTGGCCTCAAAAGACCGGAGAGTAGACAACATTCAGCTCGGAAATTTGATATGGTACCCCCCCCAGGAGGACAATGGTGACTTGGTGAGGGAGGTCTGGGTTTGAAAATATACTTTTTTGGAGACTTTAGGAGGTATGAGTTGGAGGTGAGTGGGGTTCATAATTTTTTCAAACCACAATTTTGCATTTAAAGTTTTCAAATAGTATTTTTGATTTTGGTTAAAAACACAATGCCATTTAGGGTTTTGTAAACATTTTCAAGGGTGCTTTTCTAAGAAAAATGTCCTGCCTGAGTTGGCGAACAGCAAACGTAGTGGATTTGATCAGGTTGAGCGTATTGATTTAACCTTTAACCTCATCAAGGGGGAGGAAAAGAAAGAGAAAAGAGAGAGAAAGCAAAATACAGTGAAGAGAGGAAGTCTAGTGGATTATTGTGTCAGTAGTTATTATTATCAAAACCTCATGAAGAAACTACATTTGATGATAACTGGACGAAAGGATAAGAGAAGAGAGACAGAAAGAGAAGAGAGACAGAAAGAAAGAGAAGAGAGATAGAAAGAGAAGAGAGATAGATAGAGAAGACAGATAGATAGAGAAGACAGATAGATAGAGAAGAGAGATAGATAGAGAAGAGAGATAGAAAGAAAGAGAAGAGAGATAGAAAGAAAGAGAAGAGAGATAGAAAGAGAAGAGAAGAGAGATAGAAAGAGAAGAGAAGAGAGATAGAAAGAGAAGAGAAGAGAGATAGAAAGAGAAGAGAGATAGAAAGAGAAGAGAGATAGAAAGAAGAAAGAGAAAGAAAGAGAAAGGGTCAGAAGATAGAGGAGACAGAGTTTACATTTTACATTTTTTAGTCATTTAGCAGACGCTCTTATCCAGAGCGACTTACAGTTAGTGAGTGCATACATTTTCATACTGGCCCCCCGTGGGAAACGAACCCACAACCCTGCCGTTGCAAGCACCATGCTCTACCAACTGAGCTACACGGGGCCCCGTTTATCTTTTAATGCAGTCGTCTCGGTTTTAATTTGATGCATCTTGTTATCCTTCACTTGTTTGTAACAATTGCAAAGATTTTGGCAACTTCGTATTTGTAGTCAACTTCGTTCTGAAGTTATCGGCAGTCACAATCAGACAGATAAACATCTTGATTCTATGTTTAGCAGAGATCTTCTGTAAATAAAGTGACGCAAAGGGCAAAAACGACGCACTTAGCTGTTCTACGAGTGGTGAGGCAGTCGGTAAATAATTAGCGTTTTCAAGTGCAACTTTAGTAACGATGGTTTTGGGAAACAGCTCAGAGATTTAAAGATGCTCCTACTAAGATTCTAACGATGAATTTAGCATTAAGATGCTTTTGGGAAACCGGGCCCAGGAGCATAAAGATACGATGGGAAGTCACATTTATTTGCATGGTTGATCTTGGTGGATAAAGTGACCGGTCTGCTGGCTTGAAATTGCCCCCTTGGATTCATGAGGCCCAGTGGTTCCTGGCCAACAGCGTCTGTGACAATGATAATTAAGTCTGCCGGGGCCTTGTCACCGTGGGCCCATTGTGGGGGCCTCATTCAGCCCACAGTCATTTACACTTTCATTGGCAGCTATTTAATCCCAATAAAACGTTCAACACAGCAATTTGTGCTTCCTGCTCAGCCAAGTAGAAGTGTGGAATAGGCATTGGGAGGGGCCCTTAGATTTTTGGGGCCCCGAAAAGTCCCCCCCCCCCCCCCCCCCCCACCTCTGCTCACTCTGTTTCCCAGGCTGTGATCGGGGAGCAACAGCCCCAAAAGAATAGACTGATTCAGCCTCCTCATTATCTGTCCCCATCTTAGACATTTGTATTTAATTTTACGCTGAGTTATTGCATTAACATTGCTTATAATTAGGACGGTATAGGATGCAGAGGAAAAGGGCCAAAGTAGAAACTTGTTGGACAGTTGGCTCTAAACCCCCATTCCCCTATAAAACAGAGATTATGCACTGCGTTGCATATGGATGGAGCTATAACATCCATTTAAACCTATTCCATACCAGATATATCAAAAGACACAAAGGCCTTGTGCTTTTAGATGCTGGTCTTTTGGAGGGGCTCATGTCTCTGGACTTTATTGTTCATGAGCTCATTTCTGTTGTGAAACACTCTATAGACCACAGCTAGATGGACTGGATAGACCCAATATAAATCTATATTAAGAATTTGCGTTCAGACGCAGGTTGTAATACTTGTAAAATCTCATTATTGGTTAGAGCAACCATTCCACCTGTGAGCAGTGAGATTTTAACTGGATCGTTTTCAATCACTAGGGTTATTTGAGGCCATATTAATAATCTCCTTGCACATTGGCCATTAACTATTTATTAAGTATTTATTAACTCTTATCTAAAATACCACATTATCAACACTGCTGTGATTGCTGAGAGAAAGAGCCTAAACGATCTAGCTCTGCAGTCTAATAAAGGCTCCCACATTCATCACCTCAGCTTTCTCAAGTGATCTCTCTGTCTGGTCCACAGTTTGCTGAGCTAGCAAGACTGGCAATACTAATGTGATACAATATTTTATAGTGCCTTTAGTTTTGGCTTCAGCCTCTTCTGAGATGTGAGTTTAAATCCCACTGCTGCCATCGAAAGCACAGGTCTGTTGAATGTGGCTGATAAAGGACAGAGGACCTGGCACATATCTAATCAATCATAAAGCTGAAGAAAAATTGTCTTCTTCATTCACTATCCCAGCAGCTCTGTAAAAACCCACTCTGTCTGCGTCACTCAGTCCACTGACTACCCACAATACAGCAGGAGGGGCTGCCACGCCCAGGCTAACACTGAGGGAGGGGGGGGGGGGGCAGAGGTGAGGGGGTTTGGAGTTGACGCACTCATCTTCCAAGCTCTCCCTCTAATGCTTAGGGTTGTCTAACGCTTAACGCCAAAAGCTCAACGACTGAAATAAAAAGTAATTATTTTAATAGAGAATAGATACAATAGTGCAATATATGTTTTTGTCATTTAAATGTGTTGCAGCAAATTGTCATGCAAATGTACTCATCATTCATGATCATTATTTCCTACAGGAGGAGCTATTTTCAACAAATATTTCCCCATAATGCTCAAGAACTACAATAAAGAATGTTATGAAGACCAAATCTCTTCTTCCAAAAGTATAAATAATTGCTTGAAAGTGCATTTCATGTCAATCCAAAAAGTACACAAGAAATCCCCACAAACATTGCTTATATATTTGGCAATAAATGGTAATCAAACTGAAGGTTTGCACCTACACTGTAGCATCATCAATACCCTGTAATAAAACCGAAATGATACAATCAATCTGTAAATAAGCAAATCCTAGTGAATTTACAAAACATTTAATTTACATTACAACAAAATATTTCAAAACCTATCATAGAAAGGAATAAACAAGACCACATAAAGGCTCCAGCAACAATCACACATTAAATTCATATGATTTCCTGCCACAGTAGTTCAGAGGACACCTCTCATGCAGAGACCCTAAAGTCAGCAGCAGTTGGTGTGGGGAGAGACAAAGAGAGAAGCAGCAGTCAAACCATCTTTAGTCTCTGGGAGCTGTGGGCGGTGAGAAGAGAGACAGACAAAGGGCCAGGCTCTCTAAGCCTTTCCCCTGCTGGGGCCGGCAGGGGCAGGGGAGGCCCCTCTAGTGCTGCCTGGATGGGTCCCCTGTGGGCCCCTGCCCTGGGCCTTGTACTACCTGTGCTCCACAAGTGCTCCCAACAGACTTGTCCCTGCTGGTGTCGTGAGCGGTATAGAATTAGGAGGAGTAGAACGGACACGTCTCTCAAACCGCTGTGGTCGTGAGGAACCCATCTAGCTTGTTTGCTGCCACGGCGACATAATCTCTACTACGCCACCACGGCAACAGGTGTTGAAAGAAGAGACTCAATGTGTTCCATTTAAGAAAGTAAAACCCTACGTGGGATCCCTACCTATAGGTCAAATGGCTCATGGACCACTAGGAAATGGGACGCACCTTCAGTCCAGCGGGAACTCACAGGGGTTCTGACGAGCCGCCCAAGCTGATTGGTAGAGGGACAGGAAGTCTTTGTAGCGGGGGGCACAGCCCAGCCAGGCCTCCCCAAAGTGTTCTGTCCCTGTGAAGAGGAACTCTCCGCCCCCAGGCTTTACGTGACACTGTAACAGTGTGTGGATGTGACCGTGCCAGGTGGAACTGGAACCGGGAACCCCTATGGTGCCGGTTGTGGCGCTCGAACACCCCGCTACGCTGCCGGTACACCCTCCCCTCTGAGACCTCCACCAATGATGTCTGCCGCTCAGCATTGTGGGATACGTTCCTGATGGATCCGCGAACCACTGGAGGGGCAGAGGAGGGGACTAACATTAGAGACTGTTTTCAGTTAGCCTAATAATTTATGGTTATGTTAATAAACCTTATGTTTTATTGTAATGAAAACCAATTATATAAACAGAAAGATGAGAAATGTATCAATTAAACAGCCACCAATACAGTATGATTCTACTGATCTAAATTATTGTGTGCATTTCAATAACGTGTTTTTTTTAAAGTGGCAAAGAGGGAAATTATAAAGTGAACAGGATCTTGCTGTGTGAGTATGAGTGGAAAAGGGATTCAAATCTTCCCTCCAAAAACTCCTCTCTGTCTCCACATCCCCCACTCCCTCTCACTCCTCTCTGTCTCCACATCCCCCACTCCCTCTCACTCCTCTCTGTCTCCACATCCCTCACTCCCTCTCACTCCTCTCTGTCTCCACATCCCTCACTCCCTCTCACTCCTCTCTGTCTCCACATCCCTCACTCCCTCTCACTCCTCTCTGTCTCCACATCCCCCACTCCCTCTCACTCCTCTCTGTCTCCACATCCCTCAATCCCTCTCACTCCTCTCTGTCTCCACATCCCTCACTCCCTCTCACTCCTCTCTGTCTCCACATCCCTCACTCCCTCTCACTCCTCTCTGTCTCCACATCCCCCACTCCCTCTCACTCCTCTCTGTCTCCACATCCCCTACTCCCTCTCACTCCTCTCTGTCTCCACATCCCTCACTCCCTCTCACTCCTCTCTGTCTCCACATCCCCCACTCCCTCTCACTCCTCTCTGTCTCCACATCCCTCACTCCCTCTCACTCCTCTCTGTCTCCACATCCCCCACCCCTCTCACTCCTCTCTGTCTCCACATCCCTCACTCCCTCTCACTCCTCTCTGTCTCCACATCCCTCACTCCCTCTCACTCCTCTCTGTCTCCACATCCCTCACTCCCTCTCACTCCTCTCTGTCTCCACACCCCCCACTCCCTCTCACTCCTCTCTGTCTCCACATCCCCCACTCCCTCTCACTCCTCTCTGTCTCCACATCCCCCACTCCCTCTCACTCCTCTCTGTCTCCACATCCCCCACTCCCTCTCCCTCCTCTCTGTCTCCACATCCCCCACTCCCTCTCACTCCTCTCTGTCTCCACATCCCCCACTCCCTCTCACTCCTCTCTGTCTCCACATCCCCCACTCCCTCTCACTCCTCTCTGTCTCCACATCCCCCACTCCTTTATTATCACTGCACAGAAATCCCTCCATTCCCTCCTTTCACTCTCCGTGGCCATTTACACTTTCATTAGCCAGCTATTTTCTCTCATCAAAAAGTCAATGATGGTGATTTGTGAGATCAGGGCACGGGAGTCAGCCTATAAATGGAGTGGACTCAATGGTACTATTGCTTCTGCTCTGTTGCAGCCTTAAGCCAACGTGTCTGCCATTGTGCAGCCTCAGCACCCACATCTGTCAGGCCCCTCTGCCCAGCTATGAAAGCTGCTTTCTGGGAACAGATCAGGCCCACTAGCCCCCCCAACCCCAACCCCAACCCCAACCCCAACCCATCCCTCCACACAGACCCAAAATCTCCTTTCCAACACCCACTCACTCACTCCACCCCAGACCTTTGTAGCATAAATTAGTGGTGATACCCAGCAGATGAGGGGACAGATTGGGCTACATGGATCTATGGAGAACTAAGGAGTTAGGACACAAGGAGTCAAAAGCTATAGCTGTTTACCGTTTTTATAAATGTTTCATACGTGTTTGATATAGAGTCTAGATTTGTAAATAAGAACAATTATTCAGTATTTATGTTCTATTGATACATACCAAAGTCACTGCTGCAGATGGCCAGGAGGAGCTCTGTGTCATTGCAGGGACGGCAGCTAGCTGTGGGAGGAGAGAGAGAGAAGTTTAGAGAAAGAGTGTGGGTCTATGCAGAGGAAAGGGGCACACATCACCCTGTGGAGCACCAATGCACATCCTTTCACTTCACTTGTCTTCTCACCACTCTCTCTCTTTCTCTCCAATTATTCTCTCTCTCTCTCTCTCTCTCCCCCCACACCCAATGCCCTACTGTGAGGGTGTACTTTGAACACTTCAGATCACACCCAACACCTTATACTCTAAAAATAAAAGTTTCCTGGAGTATCCTTTAGGGGTTCTTCAAATTGAAACTGTGGGGGAACCTCTATAAGTTATTTGAAGAACCGTTCAAAGAACCCCTTTTAATGGATCCTCAAATAACCTTTTGAATAATATTTTGGGGTGAATTGTTTTACTCCCCCCCCCCCCCCCCCCCCTATTATTAATAATAATAATTATTATTATTATAATAATACGCATAACAATAACACAATATTTTAGTTCTCAGTGTTTATTATGATTTTAGTGGCATAGCAGAATAAAAAAATCAAAATATGAGGTAAACTCCCAGCAGAGCCCCAAGTCCAATGCATATATCCTCTGCCGTGTTGATGTTAATGTGTTGATGTTCTCCGTATCCATAGCCAGAATGATTTTGCAGTGCATGGTGATTGAACAGGTTTCCTGTTATATTCATCAGAGGTGTAGGGAGGGTGAAGTCTGTGAATCCAAAATGTTTTAATTATACAGATCATTAACAAAACATGCACAAGACAGTATTCATTCCTTGGTTTTTGTGGTGAATGTGAATGAAGAAAACTGTTTTGATAATGGTTTTCATACACGTACCTTATCCATAATGTAGAGGCCTATGGGATATTCATTGAAGAGGTATAGGTGGAGGATGGTGGAGGATGGTAAATGTGATCTGCATTACATACCAATACCAATTGACATACCTTTGTATGCCTCCTTATCTGTATACCTGCAGACACAGACACAAAAGTGAGCAGTTCAGTCATCTGCACCCAATACAGCTAGCTTTCAACATATTCTTATAGCCTACATATTCTTACCTCTTTGTTGATTGGAGACTGAAAAGATTTGGCATGGGTCCTCAGATCCTCAAAATATTCTACAGCTGCACCATCGAGAGCATCCTGACTGGTTGCATCACCGCCTGGTATGGCAACTGCTTGGCCTCCGACCGCAAGGCACTATAGAGGGTAGTGCGTACGGCCCAGTACATCACTGGGGCCAAGCTTCCTGCCATCCAGGACCTCTATACCAGGCGGTGTCAGAGGAAGGCCCTCAAAATTGTCAAAGACTCCAGCCACCCTAGTCATAGACTGTTCTCTCTGCTACCGCACGGCAAGCGGGACCGGAGTGCCAAGTCTAGGTACAAAAGACTTCTCAACAGCTTCTACCCCCAAACCATAAGACTCCTGAACAGCTAATCATGGCTACCCGGACTATTTGCACTGCCCCCCCCCCCCCCCCCCACCCCACCCCATCTTTTTACGCTGCTGCTACTCTGTTAATTATTTATGCATAGTCACTTTAACTCTACCCACATGTACATATTACTTCAACTACCTCAACTAGCCGGTGCCCCCGCACATTGACTCTGCACCGGTACCCCCCTGTATATATAGCCTCCCTACTGTTATTTTATTTTACTTCTGCTCTTTTTTTCTCAACACTTTTTTGTTGTTTTATTCTACTTTTTTATTTAAAATAAATGCACTGTTGGTTAAGGGCTGTAAGTAAGCATTTCACTGTAATGTCTGCACCTGTTGTATTCGGCGCATCTGGCCAATAAAATTTGATTTGATTTGATTGATATCCATTGAATTGTGTCCATTTTCTGTTTTAGAAAGATTTGCACAAATATGAAAGATAGATGGTATCATCATGAAACAATATCAACTTAGATCATACAAGGGACAAACCTTACCTTAAATTGAGGAGTTCTTTACATTTTTCAGTTAAGTGCCTGCACCTGCTGTCCTTTCAAATCCAAATGTTTCAGTTGGGCAGTTAGGTTCCTGCAAGTTCCTCAATGAACCCCACCTCCAATGGGGTTCTTGGAAGAAACATTCGGGGGCCATTTTCAGTGCCAAGAACCCTAAGGTTCTTCTAAGAACTTTGAGGATCTTAGAAGAACCCTTGATGAACCCACTTTGAACACTTCAGACCACACCCAACGCCCTAGTTGATGGCTGGGCTTGAGACAACTGATTGATGGATGAGGATTATAGACAGCTTGCCACTCCATTGACACACACATACCAGCAGCTCCATCCATCCATCCATCCCTCCATTCCTCCTCAGTTCATCCAGACAACAAGCCAAGGGGTCAGATGGAGGAATGTCTGGCATGTGACTCTCTACTCCATTCACATCTCCTCCACCATACTAGCACTACCCACACAGATCAAAAGCATTGATGAGTCTCGACCTCCATATTTGACTTCTATTGTATAGCGGTCTAATTGAATGACCCCAGACTGGTGACCCCAGTCACTGGTATTCTCCACTGAACCCCTCCACTCTTGTCAATATTAGGAGAGAAAGACCCAGACAGACATCACCCCATTGAGACAGGCCCACACACACACAAAGAGAGAGAGAGACAGAGACAGAGACAGACACAGAGACAGAGAGAGAGAGAGAGAGAGAGAGAGAGAGAGAGAGAGAGAGAGAGAGAGAGAGAGATGAGGCATCTGCAGAATCCGACAAGTATTTGGTCTCTCCATTGAGATACCCGGGGGCCAATGGCCCTCAGCCAACCTGGTTCCTGCTTCCTGGTTTTGTCCCTCCGGTGGACATGATACCACCAGACAAAACAACAGAGCGGCCAGCAGGTGCTTCCTAGAACAGGCAAGATTGGGTTTGGTCTTTAATTGGATAATTGACTGATTTCTTTGTGCCCCAAACTGTCCCTCAGTCTCCCCAGCACACCCTTCCACCCACACAGTGAATGAGCTCATGTCTTGTGCCATGTGCTGTGATGCTAGGAGTTTATTGTCTTCTATGATTAAGTTAGAATGTATCAGTGTTTTATTATTGATGCACTTGCTTGGAAATGGTTAAATGATGGCCAAGAAGAATATGGGTCTAAAGTAAAAACCACTTAAAAATAACTGAAGGTATGATGATCAGCATTAAGGATACTTGTTGATCACTTTCATTCTGGACTCCAATGTTATTTTTTGACACCAATACAACTGACAAAACATACATTATTTTTTCATATCAATAAATTATTAGGTCTATTTACAATTGGGATTGCAACTTCAACAATAGTGTCAAATAAATATCTTATTACCATGGCATACAAATAGAGAACTCTTATTATCTCCAAATGCCAGTGGTGTAAAGTACTTAAGTAGAAATACTTTAAAGTAGCCTACTACTTAAGTAGTTTTTTTGTGGTATCTGTACTTTATTTTACTATTGATATTTTTGACAACTTTTAATTCGCTACTTTCCTAAATAAAATAATGTACTTTTAACTCCATACATTTTCCCTGACACCCCAAAGTACTCGTTACATTTTGAATGTTAAGCAGGACAGTAAAATGGTCCAATTCACGCACTTATCCATGGTCATGCCTACTGCCTCTGATCTGGCAGACTCACTAAACACAAATGCTTCGTTTGTAAATCATATCTGCGTGTTGTAGTGTGCCCCTGGCTAGCGATAAATAAAAAATATAAATACAATTGTGCCGTCTGGTTTGCTTATTGCAATTTGAAATGATTTTTACTTTTAGTTTACTTTTGATACTTAAGTATAAGTATATTTTTGCAATTACATTTACTTTTGATACTTAAGTATATTTAAAACCAAATACTTGTACATTTTTACTCAAGTAATATTTTACTGGGTGACTTTCACTTTTACTTGGGTCATTTTCTATTAAGGAATATTTACTTTTATTAAACTATGACAATTGGGTAATTTTTCCAACACTGCCAAATACTCACACTGCAACACACTTTGGCCGAGGTTGGGCGCAGTGGTCCGAATGCCCAGCAGCTCATATCTGAAGCCTACTGCCCGTCGGCTGATATCACTCTGCGGGTTCGCCAGGAGGAAGATGGCTGGCTTCTGAGGTCCGTCCACCGGGAAACAGAACACCTGCTCTGGCCGCCCTCCGTCCGTCATTAACAGGTCCAGTTCCCCAGCCCGCTCAATGTAGACGCTGGCGCCGTGGAAGCTGCGGAACGGTTTGATACAGACCGTTGTGTGGCGCGCAGAGGACAGGTTGGGTTCCAGGACGACCCGAAGCGCCTGGCCCGGGTAGACCCACTCCACCGAACCCTCGGTGCAACGCAGCCGCACCTGCTGCACAGTCCGCGAGTTCGCCTCAGCCTCACGCGCCAAGCCACTGCAATCCAAGAACAAGGAGAAGGGTTCAAATGGGCACACTCACTCAGAAACCAATGCAGGTCAGAAAATAATGTAAGACGAGAGAGATCAGCCTATACTCACAGAGAATAGGTATATTATTTTCCCCTACTCAATCCAAGTGTTAAAAATAGCGTAATTGTATTTTATTATTTTGACAAAGCCCATTTTGATAGAAAACAATTAGGATATTGGTATAAACAGATAATAATTATAAATATTTAGACAACAACGTTTTTAGAAAGGCTAAACGCGATCCCAAAGTCAAATACCGGTTTGAAGTTCTGACTACAAAAAAAAGCATTATTAATGAACAATGAAATAAAACGAAAATATCTATAATCCACAGAAATAAATACAATTCCTCACCTTCCACTCCAGTTGCATAGATCTGCGGCGCAGGGAGACAAACAGCAGAGGAACAGTAAATACATGAAAATCATCCTTAGAGTTGGCGAAATTGCAACCGCCAACTATAGGAATGAAAATAGAATCCAAAATCAACTTGGTGAGAAAACATCACAAATGTTCCGCTCCAATCCTTCTGCAAGCTCACTGAGATGCTCTCTTAGCAACATCTGTGGACGCCTGTGACTGACGCTATGACTGCATTGTATGAATAGTAATGTGCACCCTAGCCCCCTTACAGCGTTGGTAGAGAATGGTTATCCTCACTGTGTGTCTGTGTGAACGTGTGTGTGTGCGTGTGTGTGTTTGTGTGTGTGTGTGTTGATGATGGTGTAATTACCAAGTCCAAAGATTTGTAAGACGAAACCGTTTTCAAAGGCGGTAATTTTGCATTTGTCGTTACATAATTTCATGATTGAAGTTGTGTAAGATGGATAAAACAACATTTAGGCTATATTGTAGGTATAGGCTATCAATCGGAATAGCCTGTGGGTCCAAGAATCGAAAAAGCTTGACCAAAAGATAATTTTTTAAAAATTCACCGCTTTAATTAAGCATATGTTTCCCACACGACTGAATACTTAATACGCGTTCGATCTCTTTTCCCTTTTGTTTTGGGCTAGTTCAGTGAAAAGAGGATCCGTAGCACAGGCTCTAGCCATCTGTTACCTTGGAGCCTTCAGGAAACTTTGGGAAATAAATGCCAATTACTTCTTATTTAGAAGCCTTTTCTTTATGTAGGCTAGTATTGATGCGTATTTTCCGAACACTTTATATTTGCACATTGAACCCCTAAACATTGGCCTATATAAGTAAATAACTTATAAAATAAATGTATAACAAAATAATACGATAACAATTGTATTTTAAATAAATAATTGAAATCGCATTTTGTAATGATAGGCTTACGATTCGTTTTATATTACCAAGCCTAACGGCCACAGATAGTGTAATTTGGGTGGAGAGTGGGGGTGAATAACGGTAATGGTGACGAAATCCATTCCCGGTTGTAGCCAACTAGGAACAGGCCCAGGCCAAGAACTGAAAAAGGCACAACGTATTTTTGGTACTTGGGCTCTATCTAGTGGTCGTGTACATGTAACGCACATCTGGAAAATTCAGAGCATGCGCGTCTCGGTTTAACGTTGATCAGGGTTAAAACCTGTGAACAAAATAGCAATCCTTCCGGGCCCAAGCAACAACAGGTGTAAGTCAAGTCCATGGCGACATCTTGCGGGGGTATCCAGCACCCACATGTGTATAATAGTGTTGGTTGGTCACAGGACTTGGTTGGCCCCCTCCGGTGGTGCGAGATCAAAGGCTTATCCGTTTTGATGGGAATGTGGTTGGGTTAAATTGCACTCATATGGAGAATTTAGCCAGATGTTTTCTCAGCTGCGGGGAAAGTCCTCTGCTAGGGTATAGGCTTACGAAAAGATATGTGTCCTTTCCTCAACCAGGTGGAAATTTAACAGACATGGGCCTACTGTGTAGTAATAACATAAACAGCCTATAGCCTAGATTTTTTTTAAACTGCTAAGGGCTAAAAAAGGGCACGTTTTATTCATTTCAAACACTAATAATGTATGCATTGCTTAACCTACACTATTTTAATTTAGTCTATAAAAAGTATTCCAAACTATACTCAGGAATAGCTATTATTTTCAATTGTCTATCTTCTCTGGTCAGTGCAATCAGAATTCAGCTGTAGGGGAAGGCCTTCTGAATGGCCATGACAGTTGAGTGGCTCGCGCTGTTGTCACAGCCAGGTTCATTTTCACACGCGCTCTCAGGTTGGTCTGTTTGCGTCACGTGTTCGGAGGCCAGAGCCCAGTTCCCTGGGGAGAGCAACATGAATGGACACTTTGTTACTCCACCAAAAGAGAGAGAATAACCCTCTAGTGGCATTCAGCTCCCGGACTGACTGAATTCTACAGAAGGCTGGTGGTTCAGTGTCCCATAGGGGCAGACTAGCCATCTGGCATTTCAGGCAAATGCCAGATGGGCTGGTCCATTTTTTAGCCTCAAGCAATAAAATGGGTTCGTTTGGGGGCCTCAATTAAAATAATGGGCCAGTGTGTTAGAAATGCCAGAGATGATTTCTGGTTACAGTCGGCCTCTAGCTCAGCTCCAGCACTGTAACATCTCTGTCTCCCTGCAGGCATGTCATTTACATTTTGTTACATCATCTGTCCATAAAACGCATTAAGCTAAAAGGCCATAGTATTATTTTTCTTTAATGTGAACCCCTTTAAAATGTTACTAATTCATGTAAAATGTAACCTAGCAGCGGTATTAGAATTCCTATTGAATTATATCTATTAAAATCGTGAACAATAAAAGAAAAGCCCATAGGTTTATGGCAACATAGAGTTGAGTCTGTGACATTTCACCCAGTCTTGAGCGTTACTGGCGTACTGGCAAAGGCAAGCACCCCATCCCATATCGATGCACGACCACATCATATGAAAAGAGTCAAATATGCCACACAGATGGCCCATCATCACACACATCCAGCAGCATCCGCGTGTCACCAGCGCTTCTTCTCTGCACTTTTGAACTCTCATGGCCCTCCTGCCCAGGACCAACCCATGGCTGGCTAAAACGGTCCCCGACGGCAACCACCTGTAATGAGACTCCCGTGCCCTCCGGTCCATGCATTGTAACATTGTCTACCTCACGGCCTTGCGTCTGGCACCTGTCCAGTGTCTAGACAGGACCCTATTCTCCGTTTATACATTGCTTGACGCAAAAGACATAGGCCTAGGCCTAAAACAATTTGGAGTCATCACGTTGCACATACACATGGGTTGGCCTATATTCCCGGGCGTGCGAGAGAAATTATAGGATTTATAAATGGTGTGTAGCATACTGTATTAATATAGCTCAGTTTATAAAAGGAGTCATCAGGGTGTGTGACGATGAGTCATATTTCGTATTTTCCAAAAGATAGAAACGTCAACAGTTAGGCTGACATTAATGTAAAACCTGTATTTATGTTAGGCTATAGATAACGAAGTAAATCTACAATGCAGAAGCCATTAGATATTGGCAATATCAAAACTATGAATATTTGCTGATGCAGTTGGACATTCATATATATATATATATACACTTTTTTTCCGTTTATGAGCGTTCGACTAATTTCATGAAAAGGTTGGGGCCCAATTCAAGATCCAAATGATAAAGCAGTCTGTGACCCCATGTGTGCCATTTCTTTCGGCAGTCTGTCAATACCTACGAATAATAAGTAAAGTGATAAAATATTGACTACATACATGCACGTCCTTGTCTGCTAATCAAGACCCCATGCGAATATCCCTATAGATTGTGAACAAATAATTATAAAAGGACACAATTGGTCTAACGAGCAATAGATCATCAAAACTCCTTACCTCGCAACTCCTTACCTTCAGAGCAATAACGGTAATTAATTAATTAAATGTTATGTACCCTAATTGAAGTAAACCTACCATTTCGATCCTGTCAAAAAGTTAAACTCTGACAAGTCCTGTCCTTAAACTGTAGGTTAAAGATAAATCCCGAGTTATCTTGACACTAATTGTTTGTTTGAAGAAACCTTCCCAAAATCTCGGTTAAATCATCTTGTTCGAAGGTTTCTTCAAGGCAAACAATTAGTTGTGTCAAGAAAAATCCCTTGACTGGTTATTTTGAATACTGCGCAAAACAATTCCCAAATGGCTATTTGAATAAACCAACAAAATAAATGTTACAAATTATTACCTCAAATCCAAAAACAAATTAACTCAGCATCGGAAACTGATGTATTTTGCTCGTGCATTTTTCTAAAGCAGATTAGTGGAAGACTAAAATATCGCTAGTCCCAGTCCCAGCTGTGCTGAACTGATTTGACACACATCAAGGAGTCCAGGGAACAATTCAACCGCCGAGCTCCAATTACACTGGTTGCTGCACCGGAGCACAGAACTGCTTACATTGATTTAGTCATTTAGCAGACGCGCTTATCCAGAGCGACTTACAGTTAGTGAGTGCATACATTTTTCAGTTAGGGTAACATTTAACTCTAGGTCAAGATCGTCCATTGAACCTTATCTGACATACATTTTCACACGAATACTCTCGATTTATTGCATAGAATAGGCTATTGATATTTTTTAACATTAGGCCTACTTTACATAAAAAATAAAGTTTTCACCATTTACAGAAAATTGGTCCTCTGTAGCTCAGCTGGTAGAGCACGGCGCTTGTAACGCCAAGGTAGTGGGTTCGATCCCCGGGACCACCCATACACAAAAAAATGTATGCACGCATGACTGTAAGTCGCTTTGGATAAAAGCGTCTGCTAAATGGCATATTATTTTATATTATAGGGAAAGTTTGTATTGCTATATTAAATAACAGCTAATACATGTGCCTGACCTAGGCCTATACCTCTATAGCCTACCACATTTAAACCAGCCTTAACTGATAGCCTCATTGGAAGGTGAGGAAATGTAGCACTTTGTGAATGTATTTAAAACGTTTAAATGAAAATAGAAAACACGAAATAGTTAACCAAAAAATTATATTCAAATAGGCTATATAGACATGTTTAATTTGGTCATTATTACATTAAATACTATGACATAATACATATTAAAACATACAACTCTGGATATAGAAAATGTATCACAAATGATAATGATTAAGCGATTACCAACGTCTTACAAATAGCTGTTGCATTGTTAGTCATGTTATGTGAAGCAGATATTGAAATGAAGTCAGCTTTTATCTTTGAAAAAACCTTTGTCTGTGCTGCTCTCTTTGATGGTGACTGTCAAAAAGTTCGTTGTCACATCTGTGACCACCACCTTCTCAACGTTATCCAGACGAGGCCTCCAAGACTCCGCTGACTGCTCCCCAGAACTCCTCGATGCATGCGATTTGGCGACGACAATGGGCCTAGACTGTTGCATGGATGAAGAAGAGTCACTGGCTCCGCAGAAATGGTTTTTGGACACATGCTTCAGTTTGGGGTGTGGGATAGACATGCCCCCGACGCATTCTAAAGTCATGCGGCTCTGGTGATCGAGTCTAGCCTTATGGACAAGTCTACCATCGTGGCTATGGGTGCCAGGATGGGACACAGTCCCCACCAGTCTTTGCGCATCGTTTGATTTTGGCACAATGCTCGTTCCCTCTTGAAACCTGCGAGTCAACTGGATGACACTTCTCTCAGACATTTCGCCTTTATGATGACAATGTCTGGACATTTTAGACAGACCGCATGGGGCCTGTTGCTCCTCTAACCGACTCCTCTTCGCGGGCTCCTCTGTTGGACAGCTGTCTGGCTCTATGTTGAATCGTAAACGTAACTTGGGTTTAGGTCCCCGTTTTTTAGGGATGTTGACAAATTCCTCAGCCATGAATGAGGGCGGAGGCGCAGGTCGCGGCCTTCTCTCTGGCTCTGGTGGTCTGACCCTCACGCTCTCTCCTCGGTTGACCGTGCTAGGGGGGAAGATTGTGGGCACGATAGGCCTTAGTCCCTCTCGAGCTCTCGGTGTAATCATAGGCTCCGGAACGGGGTATGAAACACGAATCCCCCTTGGCATTTCTCTTCTGCATTCATAAGTCTTTGCTGTGGCTTTCGCTTTGGCCTGTATAAAGGAGGTCAAGTTAGATAAGTATGGGGTTTCAAAAACATGTACTTGGAAGGCTAAATCGTCTTATTTATAGGCCGTATCATTGCAGATATTTTAAAACGATTAAATAAGCCTATAGCCAATCCGATATTGTTCATCCACATGCCATTTCACTACACCAAAATAATTGTTACAATGATGCCAATTTTGGAAGAAACAAACATTATTACAAGTGTTGTAATGAAAATGTTGGCTATCAAGCAGAAAGTAAGCCCCATGCATTCACTCTTTTGCGATACATTTATTTCCCACTGTAACTTGGAAACGTGTGTTACTTTGTTAAACTTGGAGTTAGAACAATAGCATCAAAACAACGGAAATTAAAGCGGAGGTAAAAACATTTTAAAAAAGAGCAAAATATGAGACAATGTTCCACTTTCATTTATTTATTAGCTGAATGTCAGACATTTTGTAGCCTGTCATTCTATCAGACCACGCGATTCATGATTCAATTCTCGGAAAACATAGGTGATGAGTAAGAAAATACATGACTGAAATATGGACTAACTGTCACAGTTTAATTCCCCCACCTTCAGCAGAAATGTCTCCGGCTTCGGTCCCCTCTTCTTAGGCCCAAATAACTCCCTTTCACGCTCCCTGTGAAATAAATACATACCATTTTCGTATGAAACGTAACTCGATCGACAGAATATAGTCTTATTTGAGTTATGTTAAATGCGTGTCGTCTGTTGGGGATAGCCCAAGATGCCATATTCGCACTATGCCTGAAGAGGCCTGCTGTGCTGTCAAAACCTTACCTCTCTTCGAATGCAGCGAAGAGGCGCGCATCTAGAATGTTTTCCTCCGGTTCCCAGGTGTTATATCTATCCAAAAGGACGATACGGTAGCGTAAGAAGAGTGTCACATTTGTGGCGAAAGCGTTCACCAAATGAAACACAATGTCGGCTGAGAATCTCGTTGCTTTCATTCTGGCATTGCCTAGCGGACAGCGACGTATGTGGAGTTAGCAATCTGCTAATGTTAGCAACACTCTTGTCCTGTGCTTGTGCGTTAAAATAGCCTAAGCAAAATACGCAAACGTTACCAAAACCATGCCCGTTAACAAGCCTCGGTTACATAGCCCAAACATGTCATTAACACACGTTGATGCACATAAAAACAAGCATTCGAGAGATAAAACGACACGCTGGAAGCTCTGCTGCCTGATTCCAAACCAGTGTGTAGCCTACTCACTTTTTAGACCAGCCCTTCCATTTCACAAGGTATTCCATTCGACCCTGCAAGTATAACAACAAATTAGGCCTACTTATTGACGATAGAATGCCATTGCGATGGTGCACAAACACACGATTAGCATACATTATTGTTTGAAACGCGGAGGTGTAACGAAAATAAACTGCATACTCTTCTTATGCGTCGTTTGATGATGGACTCCGGCCGCGAAGACTCGCTCTCCAACAGCGGATAGCTCCATGTTTACTTCAACCTCGTTTATAGGCTATATATTTTTTCTTCTTTCTACTGCCCTCTCTGTTTAATTCCACACATCCCATAATACGCACAGTGAGGAAGACGTCATCACGTTTTTTACGGGTTGCCAGGCACCGCAGTCGGTGGGACCGTATCTGGTAGAGCGCATTGGCTCAGCTGTTGCTACGTGCTCTGGGTTGCTAAGTGAAGGGGAGGAGTTAATTCTTCTTGAGTCTAAGGAAGTGACGCTGATTTGGCGGTAGTCTGGTTTGTGCGCAGGAATGTCTTTGGCAAAGGCGAATAAATAACCCAGTCTGACTATGGCACACCAAAATATTATTCATTCGAAAATAATTTGTTAATTTATATTCATTGTATAGTCTACCCAACCTCTTACCTTGCATTGTGACTATTTTCTTGAGCAGATCTTTAAATAGCCACTCATCGGCATTTAGAAATATAAAAAAGTGCATTAATTTATTTGATATGAATATATCAAAGTGAGAATCAATAAGAACATGACCTAGAGGCTCGATTGTATTTCCACCAAATCTAACTGATAGGCTAGTTGCCAGGAATCCCATGCACCAACCTTGTGTAAAATGTCCAACCTAAATACAAATGCATAGGATAGCTATGTCTCAAAATGCATATGTCATTTGTAATCTAGAGATGGGAAAGTATGTTATTTTACAATCTTGCGCTATTGTTCATTAATGTCCAACTACGTGAGGCTAAACTCTACAAAGGTCAATTAAAATTGACCTTTCAAGTTGTATCATTTTCATGGAAGATATTGTTTGTTTTTCAAAGGTAATTTACCTTATTGTGGGGTGACGAATCGCGGGTCTGTTTGGTCGTCCGATAGCTTTTTTAAAAAACAAATTCGGTTGAAGATTTATGAATTTATGAAAACAATTAAAAGTCACATTAAGAAGAGTTGAATGTTAAGTTTTACTGTCTGAAGATGAATAGGTAAACACAACTGAAAACTATAAAATATTTCAAACACAACTTAGCCATAGAAATATGAACATATGATAACATATACATAACAAGAATAAACAGGTCTCTGGAAGAAAAACAAGACACGATAATGACATATAACTCAAACAATAGTCAAGCACAATGTAATAATAATCATATTAATACTTACTAATAATAATGATAACAATATTACTACATTGCTAAATAACCAAATTAGGTCAAATAAATTATGTTGGTTTGTTAAAAATTAATACCAGTTTTTGTATTTACTATAACGAATGTTTATTATTATTATTATTATTATTATTATTATTATTATTAATATTATCAAGACTATTCGGTTGCTTTAATTGTCTAATTAACTTATATATTTTGTAATAATTAGGCTTACTTACAAAAGTGTTTAGGCTTTGTGTTTTTCATAAAGAATTTGTTTTTATAAGGATTTTTTATACAAGAGAAAATAATAATATGATGTAGAGATCAACTCTGAGATCTGAAACATATCCTACAGAAACCGACATTCATTTGAAACCTATAGTATTTGAAAAAATGTGGCTAACAGTCCTCTTTAGGTAACTCATTAAACTAATTAATAAAAATATAAACCCCTTGAGTTCCGTCTCTTGATCCATGCAAACTACAGCCTTTCTTTGCAAACTACAGCCTTTCTTTAAGGATAACCCGCGTTGGTTATCTTCTGAATGTATGTTGGAGTAGGCCTAAGTCATTAGAGTACAGTGGTATTGAAGTGCACATCAAAGGTTTAAGTTGTTCAGAAAGGGAAATTGGGAAAATTCAAGGAGTCAACTGTAGCCTACAAATTTTTGTACACAACTAAACACGTTGTACAAGTAAGAACATAATCTATGGAAAAATGGCAGAGTTATCAAAAGGAATCATATGAGATATGAAAATATAATGAGACAGAGAGATATGTATGAATTTGATTTAGATAGATAGAGAGAGAGAGAGAGAGAGAGAGAGAGAGAGAGAGAGAGAGAGAGAGAGAGAGAGAGACTTGCATATCATACTAAACATTACATTATAGGTATTTTACAATTTTGTATGATAACGAAATTATGGAAGGTTTATGTCAACAATGTGAATTGATATATAACTAAATTACTCAGGCGTTTCCACAATATCAATAGAAACAGGGAAAGCCTGCTGTTACATCATTTCAGTTTATTACTGAATAGCATACATAGCATGAATAGGGTGCACAATGTGTGTTAATATAGTGTTTATAACGCCATAGCGGTTCATCAAACCGACAATATGCTTCCGAGGGTTTGGAAAGAAAACGCCCGTGCGTTGGCGGAATGGCTCTAGCCTATGCGAAGGGTAGAGCAGAATGGACATCGAATTTGTTCCATATTTGACCTGCAGATGCCAGATTATTTCGCCCTACACTGTTACCCAACAACACATGTTCAATTTAACACGTAGATGTGGCCACTGTAGCCTTATTACAGACGAAGAGACAAAGGAGGGCGGACCAAAAGATGCATTGGTTGTCGTCGAAATCATATGGCACCACCATTTTGATACGCTCAAACCATGAGACCGACATTTCAACGCAATGTCGGGACATTTCAACGCAATGTGGTTATTGAAACGACAACATTTTAAGGGAACGCGCTAAATCTAGAAGAGTTAACGCATAACTGTAGGATTCCATATTTGGTGGTGTCGATGATTGGTCTCAGCTTTACTGCAGTGCAGCAATGGCGACAGCCATACATGGATACACAGTGCGAGTTGATAAAATATTATTGGCTCGCTCGTTTCTGGGCAACCGCCGTTACACAGCTCACTGCTCGAAAGCGCTGCTCGCTGTCCTACTTTCATGGAGGACATTATCTGTTGTGCAAAACGCGTAGCCTGAGTAAGAGGAAACCACAGACACATAAAAGACATGTATGTTTTCAGCTCGAGAAGAAGAACCACAGCCTCGAAGCAAACTGAATTTACTGTGCCTCTTTCTCTCTCTCTCGCTCTCTCTCTCTCTCTCTCTCTCTCTCTCTCTCTCGTGTTTATGCAACAACGATGCTGCAAATAAGTCTTGGCGGATTGTATTAGTGTTTGTGCATGATATAACACAAAATGAATATCATCTTCACAAATTGCATTTAATTGACTTATTTATGAATACTTTATCATTACAGTGGCATAAAGGCGTATGCTACAGGCCCCCATCAGAATTGTTCATCAAAAAATGTTCATAGAAAATACACAAAAACAGTCATTCGAATTGATTGGTGTTTAGTTGTTGTTTGCCATAGGCTACATGGCAAATACGCCTTGCAGTAGGCTACGTCTGTAAATGTAAGATGATACAGCAATGGCAGGCTGCATTGGAAGGTTGTGGTGTGGTGATAAAGGGGGAATGTGAAACATCGCACTTGTTCTATTTATATGCTCCAACGTGTACAACGAGGTTTCTGTTTGACTACAGAAAGCTGAGTCATCTCAGAGTCATGCGTGTCAGTCATATCTCAGGTTCATGCAATCTCCTGTGCAATCTTGAGGTTGGCTATTTCTATAATGTCCTTCACTTTTAAAGATAGACCTATGTGTGTTTTCTTGTTCCAATTTCTGTGGCCCGTCTTCTAGCCTAATTATATATTCTTCAAATTGACCACCAAGTGCCTCACCTTACATGACTGTGTGTTTGAGTGGCAAAAATGTCCTACCTTGAATCATAAAGGGTTATTCGGCTCTCCCAATAACATAACCCTTTTTAGTTACAGAACATGTTCACCAAAAGGGTTCTTAAAGGATTCGTTGCGGGTTCCTTTGTTGGGTGAAAGGGTTCTACCTGGAACTAAAATGGGTTATCCGTTAGAGACAGCAGAAGAACCCTTTATGGGCCAATTTTTATAAGAGTATGTATGTCCGACTCTCCATATATTTATACCTCTTCTCCGATATTTATCATGTGTGCATTTGGCAATTTGCTATCCACACCTAACACCTTGATTGAAAATAGACTTGTTGATGAATTTCGATGAAGCATTTCTGCTGTTTACTGTCCAAGTGCATATGTCCAAAACTAAGGTTGTTCATTCCCCTTACTAGTGATTCTGTCTTTCATTAAAATCAAATACCATTTCTCGAAATGTGCCTACGTTTGCGTTGCATTTGCCTATGTTACACTGCGTAATAAACTAAAATGGCGTGCTTCTTCGGTCAGTAACAAATTCAGAATGGGATCCTGTATTGAAACTGACATGGAACGCCCATTGCACTACTCAAATCTGTAATTTATTAGGCTACACCTCCAACTCTCAGCGCGTTATGCCGAGCGACCATTTCATACACTGCAAAGCCCCTGCGAACATTCGATCCGCTGCTTGAAGCTGGTATAGACGAGAGAAAATGGCTGTCTCATTTTCAGCAAGTTACACACGCATTGTATGAATAATGGAAAGTTTGACTATAGGGCTAAGATATTTTCCGAAAAAGGGAAGACTTATAAACGTAGATGCAATATAGCTAACCTCTAACCCTTGCGGGTTCAAGTGCAAACCAAATGGAGACTGATACAAGCTGGCTATGAGCCGAATTGTTTCATGATTAACATTAGTTACTTCAGCTGTAAACATCTAAAACATTTAAAGCTGAAAACGGAAAACAATCACCTAGGCTACTTGGGGGACAGTTGGAAAGTAGATGCCTCAACAAACGAAATGTAGCCTATAGCTTCATTCACCTCGATAAAGTCATCATTCCTCAAATGCATGATGAAAACAAGCAAATCAATTAATTGAAACTTTTCTATATGGTTCACCAAACAAAGAATCATTAGCCTATGATAAAATAGACACATTCTCCAAGGAACTTAGCCTAATGATATCCGATAAAGAACCATTGATATAGGCTATACTAACACGATTACAATACAGTTATACACATTAACCTACAAAATAAAATCTCTAAAATATGTGGCCATGAACATGGACAGTGCACACTTGAGAGCTTTGAATTCCTAAAGTTGTGATTAAGCCCAAAGTGATTAAGAGAGATTTCAAACTTGCAACAAATGCAAATAACGGAAAGGGGGGTTTTTCAAAAAATATGAAAAAATATGAAACATCATTTGATAGGCTACAAAAAAGTTGAATGTGTAATTTGACTTTTGTGCATGGATCAAATGAAGGGAATTCAATTTAGAAGCGAACGCATTCCAAAAGAGAATTGCTGAAATGATTTTATTTGTCCCTGCTTTTTAGATTAATAGAACCAACTATTTCCGAAAAAGGCTTTCAGATAAGGACATCACCTGACCCTCCCCATGTGCGTGCATCGCCAATTTGCATTTATTACAGAAGCAATTACGGAACATTTACAACCTTGCTCAAGGGCACATCGACAGATGTTCCACCTAGTTGGCTCTGGGATTTGAACCAGCAACATTTAAGTTATTGGCCCAACACTTTTAACCGCTAGGCTACAAGCCGATTAATATTTTTCTCAAGATTTGTTTAATTGGCCCAACAAACTTGACATATCTATCTGTTCCAAGGTTGAATGGCACACTCCCAGTGCCGAAAAACATTATTTGATAAGCAACTCCCATTGAAAGACCTGGGCATGTTTTCCAGTCCAGTCCAAGGTCTTTCACAATGTAATGGTTATACACTGGTTTTAGATAAGGCCTGTAGACAAGGTCAAGACCCATATTATGAAGTCTAAACAAGCCATACAACATGTTTTGATGTTCATGTAACGTTTATGTATAGGCATACTCCCTCCCAATATAGGTAGGTCTACTTTCCTTGTTACACTTGACTGGTCTGGGTCCGAATCCTTGAGAAGCGCGCCCGCGTGTAAACTCGAAGTTTCAGGAAGCAATACATTGACACATTTTGCGGCCAAAATTCCAGTTATGTGCGTTTTTTTTCCATCTGCATTTGCGCCTTTATTTGGGTTGTCAATAAGTTGGGCTTTGGGGGTTACTGTAAGCTACCATGCACATCTTAACAGAGTTAGGCCTACATCTTAAACGGTATTTAGGCATTTGAATTTGGATTTGGAAACCCTAGACACAGTTCACAAATCTATAATTCCCACTGCACGTCTCCCACCAAAAGATAAGGCAACCTGACACATCTCACGGCCTATATGGCCTAATTATAAATGGAACGACTGCATGCTCATTAGACGAGCCTACTAGACAGGCCAAGGTTATGCGTGTGTGGGAAAATAAAACAGCATTATCACAACAACAGAAGAAAAGGCCTACCACCCCATGACAGAACTTACCTGAAGGACACGTCTTGCATCTAGTCAGGCCAAGACAGATGTTGCTGAAATAGCTATGTAACAAGGAAAGTGAGTTTGACAAAGCCTCAGTTGTGTTCTTACAAAAATGGAGTGGGTGTGGGAATACATCACTGGTAGCCTACATCAAACAGCCTACAAATGTGCAGCTGTGCTTCTTCTTCAAAGTGAATGTAAAAGACTTGAGACTTGGTTGATAGAAGTGAAAGCCTAATAGAGGTCTTCCTTCCCATTCCACAAAGCCTTTCACATTGTGATGCAAGGGGTATCACAATGTGATATTGCATAATACCCTCACCTCCCAGCAATGTGGTGGTTCTGACTACATTCCTGCCAAGGGTCAAGCTGTCTTTGCTCCAACAGAAAAATTACCCATCAGTAAAGTAAGTGCCCAGTACAGTTATTTAACAGTTATTTAAGACAGAAGGCCCTTTGTTCTGGATAGTATATGTGCTTATGCAACTTCATATGTGGTTCCATTCAGAGGTCACATTATTACCAACATTAATGTTTTTTAAAAGAAAGTTAGCCTTTTTTGTCAAGTAAAAACAAAAAGGTGGTCGATAGCCTATAGGGCCTACGTATTAACTTTAGTTTCAAAATAAAGACCATCACATGGCATATAAGTAGAATAAAGTGAATAATTATTTTTACAAAAATTATAAAAACAATTTTGGGATAGTTGAAGGCAATTATAATGCCTGTAACAATATGCCAGTATGTACAAATAAAGGATTTTTTCCCCATAGTGACTGAAACAATACTTCAATTCATTAGCCTTAAGCACTGAATGCAATGCACAGCATGTCCCCATAGCAGGCCAAAGTCAGACAATATCAGAAAAAGGTCAGTTCACTTGCTTTATTGTAAAACGTACCATAGCTGTGCCAACAGTACTATTTCCAGCCCCTCCCCATCGGAAACACACTTTAAAACAATTATTTTGCCTTTGAACCAACAAGTGCAGTGGAAATGTAACCTGGCTCCAACAAATCAATGGTAACCAAAAGGATTCAAAAAGTTAAAAAGTTATCCTAAATGTTGTACAGACAGGTATAAGATGTTCCACCTCTAATGCAGAGGGAAATCTAAGTGAGCTTAGATTTGGACAGCAAAATAATGATAATAAATTATAGCTATTTAATCATTGTCTTCATAACAATCATATGTAAATCCATAATCCGTCATAGTTTTGCATTCAGTGTGCATCGAAGGCAATTTAGACTGTAATGTACAGTAGGTTACATCCAACAAGGTTTAAATGACAGAAGAAAGTACTCTAACATACACTTTAGCAGCAATATCAAAATAGCTTGTGCTCATTGGTTCATGTGTGTTAGGATCAAAATACCAGCCTCTAAACATAAGCGACTCACAATTAGCTTTTATATTTTTCACAGAGATGGGTTTTAGGAAACACTGAAAATACACATCTATGGCTAGTAACCCAGGTAGCTTCGATAAGCTAAAGACATAGTAGTTATATATGTAAATCTATCAGGCCTTTGTAAAGCAAGCGTCAATCGCAAGTTAAGATGAATGCCCCTACTGTATATGTGAAATGCAGAGGAGGCTGGTGGGAGGAGCTATAGGAGGACAGGGTCATTGTAATGGATGGGATTGAATTAATGGAAAGGAGTCAAACATGTGGTTTCCATATGTTTGATGTGTTTGACTCCAATCCATTAATTCCATTCCAGCCATTACAATGAGTCTTTCCTCCTATAGCTCATCCCACCAGCCTCCTCTGGTGAAATGTCACCCTGTCATAAGGTCAACTTAAATGTAAAAATAGTCCTACATAGACCTGCCACAAATAGCCCTGCATAGACCTGCCACAAATAGTCCTACATAGACCTGCTGTATGGTCTTAGTAGACCATCTGTGGGGTCTACACCAATGCAATATATCAACCTAATTAGGGACACAAGTCAATAAATCAGAATTTCTCTTAAAGGAAAAATGGCCCAGTCGATAAACGAAAACTCTGGCCTTCATTACTCATCTGAGAGCTAATTTCCTAAATGGTTTGCCTGCCTGCCACTGTCCAATTCAATAGTGCAAGTTATGTTATACACTTTGTTTTCTCAAAAGGAAAACATGCAATGTAGCAGCTCATGGTTAAGATTGACAGAGTTTGCTGAAACCGGTGTTCAGTTAGTTGAAATATATGTGTGTAACTCTAGTTATCAAATAGAGCATTGGAGGATTTGTCAGAAGTTCACTTCAATCTCATGTCAGAGTATCCCCCTCGGTGAAACTGGGTCTGTATAATGTCGCTGTGGGTGCCTGGCACACCCAACATTCATATTTGCATTTCTTCTTCCATTAATTTCTCCTGCACTCACAAACAATAACAAAACTCACCAACATGAAATATGACACAGCAGCCTCAGACTGAGCACACCTGGCTGGAGTAGATTGTAAAGCAATGGAAATAAGTATAAATTATATGGAGAATACATATACAGTACATAGTACAAATTAATATACACACATAGGTGAATGCAATGAAGTGCTTTTAAATGGATCTTTGATCACCATAGTTACTCAACCTCTTCTACTTATGGACTAAAATAACCGCCATTATTAAGTAGAATATACTATATGTATAAAACGTCATACATCTCAGACTAAACTCCTAGAAAAAAGGTGCTATCTAGAACCTAAAAGGGTTATTCGGCTGTCCCCATAGGATAACCCTTTGTAGAACTATTTTTGGTACTAGGTAGAACCCTTTTGGGTTCCATGTAGAACCCTTTACACAGAGGGTTCTACATGGAACACAAAAGGGTTCTACTTGGAACCAGAAAGGGTTCTCATATGGGGACAGCCAAAGAACCCTTTTGGAACCCTTTTTTCTAATAGTGTATAAGTTTGGTATATACCATCAAGCTACAACAGCAAAAGCTATTCTATGTGACTTGATATTTCATAATGGACATTTCATTAGTAATTTACATCCACCTGAATGCAGTCACTGAAATCCATGAGGGCACTTTCTTGGCTACCACATCACAGAAGAGTTGCAGTATAAAACATCATAAGAAACGTATTGATTTTGAATGATAAATTATATATCTCCATATGTACAAATCTTCACTTTCTTTTTACATATGCACATATTTAAAAGGCTGTCAAATCAGTAGTCCTGCGTTTCGATTGGTTCAGCGACTGTTAAACAGAAACGTATTCCTTAAAAGTGACCGTGAGACAGTTCGTGGTGATGTCAGTGATGACAATGTTTCCCATAAAAGGAGAGAACTTTAAGACAGGCTCCTCTTCAGCCTCCTCTGTTGTTGTTGCTGTTGTTGTTGTCGTTGTTGTTGTCTCTGACTCCTGTACCACTGGAGTTGGGTCCTTAGGCTCCGGTTCTGGCTCTGGCACTGGCTCAGGTTCAGGTTGCTTTCTGGTTCTAGAACAGCTAAGATCCATAGGTTCTTCCTGACTGGTGCTGGTGTCCGTAACCTCATACCCATACCCGCTACTGCTGCTCCGGCGGGGGACAATGAGGTGGAGGTCCATGGGTTTGTCCTGGGGCGGAGTGGGCACAGCACTGGGGACACTGATGCTCCTGGAGCTCAGAAACGTTTTACACGCGCCCCTGTCCTCCTTGGGTTGGGAGAGCTTGCGCTTGTGGTCGTTATTTGGGGTGGGGAGTGTCCGGATCTGGTCCATAGGGCTAGGGGCGTGGAGGCTAGTATCCATCGCCCAGGGGGAAGGGGTTGGGTTGGTGGTTAGCTGTAGGGGGTGATCATCCGGTAAGTCCGCCTGGCCCCTCGCAACCTCTGTGTTGTATTCCTCAGCCGTGCTGGGCGATGGTTTGCAGAAATGTCCGTCTTCTGGAGAGCGTTTCTTGGGATGCTCAGCGGCCGGAGGGGAACTGGCATTACAGATCTCTTTAGGGACATTGGTGGTCCCCTGCACCTTGGTCCTGTCTGACTGCTTGGTGTGCTGAGGTTTCTCTTCTCCAGTCAAGTCTGAAGAGTGTTTACCCTTGGCGGCCCCAGCCTTGTTGCCGTCCATGTACTTGCTCATGACGATGACGATGCGTCCATTCTTGTTCTTGTTCTTGATTATCTTCATCTTGCTGCTGACGGCGCTGGGTAGGGCTGCCTCCTTTGGGCTGGGCTTCAGTGCACATTCGCTCTCAGCCTCGTTGACGCGCACCGCTGGTTTCATCATCTCCACCATCGTCATGTCTTTGACTTTGCTCAGGCAGCCCGTGTTTTTGTCGCGAACCCATTTCTGCTGCAGAGCCGGTGGCAGGTTCCACCCAGGGTTGGGATTGGTGGGCGGACTGGGTTCCTGACCTTTGGCCACCTCTTTGGGCCTGGCGGACTGGGTGTTGTACATATTGGGGTCAGGCTGGTAGTGGTGGTGTTTCTTGCTATTGAGCTGATAGAATAACTTCTTCTTCCCGTTGCCTAGCTGGTCCGCTGGGACTTCCTGTTTGCTGGGCTGGTACTGGTGGTGCTTCTTGCTGTTCAGCTGGTACTGTTGGGGCTGGGAGCGGTGCATCTGGATCAGGTCTGACCTGAGGTGGTTCTCGGCCTCCGGAGACGTCTCCTCGAATCCGGCAGGGATGCTGGATCTTCGTGCAAACGAGGGAAGCTGAAAAAGTTGGAAGACAATGGAAGGTTATTATTCTGGAAAAATGAAAGCACTCCTTTCATCTTTTAATGTTGGGGTTTAACTCACGAGGGAAATAGAAATGGCAAAAGACAACAAGCAGGAATTTACCATAAGTCTACATTTTTGCTGTGTTGCTTCTCATAGCTAGTCCTCAGCCGTAGCCAGCAATCCAATCCAATTCAATAGGACATTATCAATCCCCTCAAGGGCAATTCAAAGACATTGTCGGAGCACAATAATACAATATCATTGCATAAATTATCCACATACTGTAGGCCTAAATGCAACACACAGGCCTTGGCTAATGGCTACATTTGTACATTGGGATTCAGATGTTATCGGCACATTCCATTAAGACATTCTAGTCCTTGGCTACCCTGGCATAAAGGACACAGACAACCAATCTATAACTTTGTGTGAGGAGAGCATCCAGTCAGTGCTCTCCTCCTGGGATTCCTTCCTCCATCTTCTCTGATCCCTCCCCCCTCCTTCCCTCTCCACTTCCCATGCATGACCCCCCCAGGCCATGAGAATGCTATTTCAGAAAGGGGCCGGAAGACACTATGTCTGTGACCTCAGGGTCACTTAGGTGCCACTAGACATGTCACGCTTGATCCTTGATGTCAAACCACGTGTGGTTGTAGCAACGTGGTGTGTCTCTTAAAGGTCCCACTTTTTACAGACATTTTTGAGGATTGTCAATCCTTGCTTCCATAGCTCCATCTATGAACTTGAGAGTGGTTACATTTCTCCAGCCTTATCCGTCAGCTTTGTAGCAAACTAAGTGGCAAGGCTGCCATTTTTATTTTTATTTTTCAATTATGGAGTGGGTCTTTAAAGGCTTGACAACTCGTAGTAATAAATGCAGTGGCTCTAAATCACTAGCCGTTTGTAATTAAATCTGGCTCCAAGTGTGTTCATACAAAATCCTCAACCTCAACCTCAGGGAACTGTGAACTGTGTTCTGTTATTCTTTCACTTTTGCTTTGAATCATTCTGGAAAAGGCTAATTTTATAGCTAACAAATTGCGAACGTGAAAATGGAATGGCATACCAAATTTCCCATAGGCAACATGGTTATTCATTTGGGAAGAGAAAATAACAATTGAAAAATCTTAAAAGGGAAACAGCCATTTGCACGTGTCCATTAGCATAAAATAAAATGAATGCGCTCAAGCAATACTTCCAGAGCCTGAGGCAACAAACTGGGTTTCATGATGAGTGTGTAGGCCAGACCAGCTGGAGGACCCCATACCTCTCTCTCTCCTAATGCAAATCTACAAAAAATAACCACAGCTATAATGACAGGGATCTCCAAAACACCTGACACTGGTGTGTCACAGGAACTACTGTTCTCTCTCTCTCTCTCTCGCTCTTTCTGCAGTTCAGTGGCATCGCAACTGTAGTTCAGTGGCATGCCAACAGAATGGGGATACCTGACTGAAAATCCTGTTCTTTTGAAACAAATGGAACTATTAAACATAAAAACAATATGGACAATAAGGCGGGGATGATGATAGTTACCTGGACTAAGAGATGTTTTGGTTTTGGTCCACGTTTACGATATCCCATCAACTGTTCCTGTCTCTCTCTGTCAAAGATAATGAAAAAAACATAGATTTACCATGAGAGTGGATGTTGGCATGAAACGTAATCTTGTGTCATCATTGTTTTTGTTTTTTTACATATTGGCATACTGGTAGCTTTACAACATATTAATGAACTGCACATATTGACAGACATGTGCACAAACAAAACACAGTTTGCAAATATATCCCTCTATTGGTCTTATTACTAATTCCGTAGCATCTCTAGACCAATTAATTTTTCAAAAACCGAAATTAAATGCATTTGGATCTCTTCAAGGTTGAAAGTGGAATTTTGATTTTGAAGGCTAATGAAGACCCGAGTGTGACCTGCTGCAAAGCATTCTGGTCTGTCTGTATTTACATAACTCTCTCCATAGTAATATGCCCATCATTCCATATTCTCATTATAATGAAGGAATTCAATTAGTTCTACAGCAGGGGAAGAATCTCCCCCTCTCTCTTCCACATCCTCTCCCACCGCCAGTCCTTACACCTCCCTATAGTTCTGTCACAGTCAAATCCTAATTAGGGTCACAAGGTGTGTATGAAATTGAATAAATACAAGGTTGAAGTGGGGTTTACTGAAAATGAAATAACTGCAACATAACAGCATCTACCCTGCATAAAGATTAGGTGACAAGGTGTGCATGAAATTGAATAAATACAAGGTTGAAGTAGGGTTTACTGAAAATGAAATAACTGCAACACAACAGCATCTAGCCTGCATAAAGATTAGGTGAACACAATGGTCGATTATTAACTATGTACATTTGAATATATTGGGTTGTATTCCCGAGTAAATTACACTCACTGAATAAATGAATGAATAACTACATTCCAGAGAACTATAGCCTACCAAGAATAACATTATATTTGTTTGGGTTTACAAAACTCCTCGAAGGAGAGAGGTGTGCAGAACGTTATTCTTCTGTGGTGATCATATGCACAGTCATGTCCATATGAAATAATTGCTCCCTAGTTGAGGCCTTGAGTCATAACATGCTCGTAAATATAACCCACAAGCCCAGTGGCAGCTGGACTCGACGCACCCACACTGCTGCGCATTAGCGCATGTGGCTAACACACAGCATTAATGTAGTAGGCATACTATGCTACAGTATGAGTGTGTAAGCAAAACACTGAGCAAACTCGTGGTGACACGGCCTGTCCCCGTGAACTTTCTGCATCATAAAGCAATAACGTGGTGTGATTTTACACCGGAGACGTCCAGCGGGGCAACCTCCATTTACAGAAGATTTGGCAATTGCAACCTCCCATGTCGATTCCCCTCCCCCATCCCCCGGGACGAGAGCAGAGCGAGCCGAACACACAGGCCCTTCCCTCCCCACACAGCGCAGAGGCAGCGCTCTGAGGCCGACCGTCCAGCCCAGACACACACAAGGCCGCCGGAGGACTGGAGAATATGAGGTCACCCACTGGAAATGGCGGAGAGCAGAGGATGTCAATCACGGTTTCCATAAATGTGATACCCATCCCCCGTCCTTTAGGCCTTCAGCCTTCTATGTATCTCCCTGTCCCCACACCGACGTGAAACACGGAGTGGTGGTGGCCTATGGGGCGGGTAGCCTAGGTTATCCCGTGGATGAGAGAGAGACCAGCCGCCTGCACCACGCAATGCTCATGTGATACATTGTTGGAGTGAAATGACTGCGACATACGTGGTCAAGTATTGCATGTGATGTAGGCTATTTGTGAATTTGCTGCGCAAAATTGTTTAAGCCCTATAGGCTTTCGCACAGACATAATACTTTTATGCAGCCTTGCTTATAATCAACTATTGTAAATACTCCAAAGCTTTTAGCTAATACAAAGATTATTCCGATCAATAGTTATGAAATAAAATGTGGTTTAAAATATCCCATTGCGTTTGAATGTAGCCAACCGATAGTCCTAATCATTCGTCGCCTGAATCTTAAGGCTAATTGTTGAAATCAGCCCATGTTTAGGACTACACAAGAGTGGTTTTGTCATTGTATGGACTTTCACAATGATATATTCATGAATTGACTCCCAGGGACCAGACCACCAAAATACTACTAGGCCTATATGGGCAAATGCGTAGTTTCTTCACAATAGCATCCCATCGCCGTTATTTCCTGCACCTGCACGACTTGCTCACTTTTGACAGCAGCCCAAGTCTTTGATTGTAATAGGCTACGTACTCTCGTAAATTAGGCCTATAGGAATATTGCTAATGAAGGATATTAACTTCATACATATATTTACATAGTTTATTGATGGACAACCTCACACCGAATGTCTAATTTATTTTGTGAAAATGTAGCAGTTCATTGCATTGGACTAGCCTATATTAACTGCCATGCAGCGAAGCATGGACTCCTTGAGACCAGACCATGACAACAAGCCATGAGGTAGTCTAGGCTATTAAAATGCAGAATGCAGAATTTAATACTAAAACTATGCACACGTGCGCGTATCTAATCAATCCATACGCGTGTCTTTGGAGTTCTCCCAACATTCAAACACATCCCCCATGGGAGGCTGTGTGGTGTATGAATAACATGCGTTGCTACCCACCGCCCCCCTCCTCTCCTGACCATATAAGGTCATGACTCAACTCGAGGCTGCTAGGCCATATCCAAAGACTCTCACCTGTTTTGGAACGCCACGAGAAGGCGCGGGTCAAGGATGTTTTCCTCCGGTTCCCATGTGTTGTATCTGTAGAAAGAACAGAAAAACATATGTAATTCATGTTGAGAAAAACAACATAGGCTATTCCCTTTTACAATATAGAGGCTAAGGTTGTCTCTCAATATATTATGGGTTATGAATTACATTCTGTTCTTGACTCTAGCCTACAATGTCGTTGCAATTGTCTTCATGCGTAAAGTAGCCTATCCACCAGCATGTTCCAAAAATGTGTTATAGCCTAGTAATGGGTTAATCTCTGGGATGATTCACTATGTCTGGCAAGGGAAGCCCATTCCAAAACAAATGCGGATCATGCCTGCCAAATACCCCAAATAACCCTGGGTATGTCTCAAGTAGTCTATGCAAGAGAGAGAGAGAGAGAGAGAGAGAGAGAGAGAGAGAGCAGTACACAATTCAAAATACAGGGTAGGGTCCCTGCTCTATCCAAACGCGAACGGTATAAAACCAATAATCTTTGCACTGTGCACCGAGTTACAGTCGGCCATTTTAACACCACTGTCTCGTAAATTCGCTGGCAGTGCAGCAATAATTAAAACGGGATTACATGGCTGTGCCTACCCCCTTCCCTCGCATAAATTAGTGAAGGCATCCGTATCGCTCTCTCTCTCTTTCTCGCTCTCTATACTCCCCTCTATCTCTCTTAAGCGCGCGCGCGCGTCCCCATTGCTGCCTTTCGAGCGAGGATTTTTTTTTTTGAAAAACAAAATCGGTTGCTGCCTGCAGAATCCACCTATGGGTACTATCTTGTGTCCGAGCATTTAAAATCATATGCGCAATTCAATGTTTCACACTTACTTGGGAGACCACCCTCTCCACTTTACCAGGTATTCTATTTTGCCCTGTAGGAGAAGGGAGAAGGAGAGAGATTTGGTGAGAAAACCGATAACATTCTAATTGAGCTCAACGCTATTGAAATGTGCATTGGTGAGAAGTTTTACCTTCCGAATGCGCTTCTTTTCGATGCCCTCCACCGCAAATACGTGCTCTCCGGCGGCAGGTAGCTCCATTCTGGCTTGAATCCTTTTGAAGCGAACGAACGTCGAAATAAGAACGGTTGATGCCTTCGTTCACTCGGTGCGTTCTCTCCTTTGGTAGTTTTCCAGTTATAAGAAACCAAATTGTATTCCCTCCTCCACTCCTCTCTTTCGCTCCTTCTCGCTCTCTCTGTCGCTCTGTTGCTCTCTCTCTCTCTCTCTCCTCTCTCTCACACACACACTCTCTCGCAGGGTCCTGGCTCGCAGGCAGTAAGCAGAAAGATATCCACAGTCCACACTAGCGGGGCTGCAAGAACACTTCATGCAATAGCCAGGCACATGACGTCAGAGCGAAGAGGGGGAGGTGAAAGGCAGAGGTTTGTCCCCTCCGTGTGTGCGGAGCAGAGTTGGACTGCAAGAGACAGGCAGCTATGGAAATAATGAAACCATTACCGTATAATTTACATCCACGGGCAAACAATACCCTTGTTGACAAAATATGTGTCCTATACCAGTTTCATTCGATCAGCTCAAGATGTATGTTGGATTGGAATCTTCCAATGCCATTTAGAAAAAGAAAATACAACATTTTTAGTTTGAAAACATTTTTTCATGTTTAGGACTTTTCATAGGTGCATAACATGGTATTGATGCTTTATAGTCTATTTTCCCAGAAAAATATAGTTGTCAAATTGTATCATCAATTTGCTACGAATAGAATAGAATAGAATAGAATAGAATAGAATAGAAGGCGCAGGTGCAAAGTCTTCTCCGAATGTTGGGCACATAAGAGCCTGTCGATATGATGACCGTGTCTCTAAATGTAATAGATGCATTATGCAATGGAGTCGAGATGAATTGATCAAAATACGTTATCAATGCGTTTTCATAATGTAGCCTAAGAGCCGAAATTGGTCAGTGGGACAACACTTGTCAACCTTCAGCATAATATAAAACGTGTCGTTGTGGATGCTGAAAATGTTGAATAACTTACATTATTCAAAGGGAAATTGTGTAATATTTTAAGGTTTCCTAAAGGAAATGGCACGATTCAATGAAGAGCGGCATTCAGTGGCATTGTTTTAATGCGACCCCCGTAGGCTAGGCTATGCGTCATGTTCTTCACCGACGACCATAAGCTGCCTATTGACTTTACCTTTTGACTTTCAGGATCATATTCAAAGCAGTAGCCTGCTTGAAGTATTTGAAAATGTGGAGAGCCTATTGGTTATGAGGTTACCAAATATCTAGGTCATGCACTAGGCTACTCTACATCGAAACCAGTTTCATATGCTCCGGGCGTTCACAAATGCCATTTGAACATTGATAGAGACCAGACGGCTGCTGCAATCCATATTCTGGCCAATTTTATAATAAGCCATTTAGCAGACGCTTTTATCCAAAGCGACTTACAGTCATGCGTGCATACATTTTTTTTTTGTGTGTATGGGTGGTCCCGGGGATCGAACCCACTACCTTGGCGTTACAAGCGCCGTGCTCTACCAGCTGAGCTACAGAGGACCACACTTTAGGCTGTATATTAGCCATATATGGCTAAATGTGCTCTCTGAAAAAAATTGAATTCAATAATCTTTCAATAGGCTATTTCAATGCATGTCCAGAAAGATGCAAGCTATAGTAAAGCAACTTCATATGCTACCCTGCTGTGTCGGGTACTACTTCGTTTAATAGTTGTGCCATTAATATTTAGGCTACTCGTTTGTAGGAAATTAATGATTGATTAGACGACCGATAACACCATTGCGCATTTGGTGTACCAGCCGCAATGGTGATATATTTTGATCAGGTCTACCTCGAAACGATTAGACGAGGGGTAAATCGAGAAATCAACACCAAAATGCGAAGTATTCTGACACATAAAGCTTTTCCCTCTCAACTATAATTCAGCACCACAAGGGTTAATGCACGATCTTCCATAGAGCGGCAACCGCCAGCCTATTGCAACCAGGCACGATACAGCGCTGCCCTTCCTTATAAGGTAATGGATAGAAACACGCGTAATATCACACGGTGTACTAATTAAAAGCCATATTTCACACTCGAAATACATACTGGCCGACTTCCTGATACCGCCTGCCGTAAAAGCGGTCGTTAAAACGACGGATTTGGATCATATTCACGGTTTTCATTTGCCCTTCAACTGCGGTCAGAGAGCGAATACGCCCTGCTCCCTTAGCAACAACATTCGGAGCGAAAGACAATTTAACTGGGACTATAGAGCCAATACAGCCCATAATTAAATGTCATAGGTAGAGCTCACGTTTTCCTATCGTTTGCGAATTTCCTGTCTTATTAGTTAAGCGTTTTAGAAACGAAATGCATGGCTGAAGGCAACATGAAGCCGTGGAGTGAAGACGATATCTATAATTTAGAGGTGTTATTTCTCAATGGCTGTTAAATTGTATATAGTAGTAGGCTACATGCATTCATTCCCCTTCCATGAGGTCATGTTAGTAGGGATGATTTTATGGCACATTGAAGGGAGCATTCATTCTGCATTGGCTGCTCCTGACGCAGCCATTCTGTAATGCTGCTGCCGACTTTTTCCCGATAAGAGTTTGATGGAATGTTGCAAGTGCATTTTTGTGTTGCCTCTCACGTCGATACAAACATCCAACTCAGCACAACCACATAGAATGTCTACACACTAACCTTGTATAATCACCACTGAACAGAAACGAACGACCCTATTAAAATAGGCTTAGAAACGCATTGCGCATAATACATTCTTGTTTCAGAGGGCATTTGTCTGTTTAAACTACGTGATATGGTTTTATCTTATAGTTTTTGTTTTCAAGTTAAACAAATGTCCCCCCATTTAATAAACCCTATTCCAGACTCACAAACTACTCTAGGCTGTGAGAATTCAGGTATAGGCTAAATCAACCAACCTACCAACCCTGCGAGAATTGGTAATCATTTGGGTGTGGTTGCACATTTGCAAGTAGACTGTTTTAATTGATTTTCTCACACCTTGATTACATTCAACGTTTCCCGCCATGTAGGCCTATAGCCAATGTTGTTCTCGACCCATATGACCATTATATCCATCTCTGAACACACAGGTGCAAAAACTCACTGGTTTGGCTCCAGGTTCTGAGGCATCTCTAGTCAATAGCTGTGCCAATAGTTTTAGGTAAAGGCAATCAACTTCGATTGTTCATTCCGACTAATAAATTATTCGGATGCCTAAATACAACCGTTTCTAATGAATATTGTTGGATGTGTAATGAAGATAGTAAGCCTTCCATTCCAACTTTCTGACAGTGTTTCTATAGCACCACATGGTTTATTTTATAGAGAGCATTTGGCCGTGTTGAAGCTAAACACTGTAAAATAATTATAGGCCACAGTTCGAGTTATGAAAGCAGCAATTGAACAAAAATATAACTTTAATTGATTAGAGTTTTTAAACAGATAATTGCACTCTCTACAGCCGGAATAGGCCTATGCGTAAAACGGTAGGTATAATGTGGCAATGCTGCTCGCAGTGTATCTCAAAGTTTCTCCATAAAATACATCCATAGACTAAGTCTATATAAGTTGTGTCTATTTGTGACCGGGTAAAGTATGCAATCTTGTATGAACCGTGGACGATTTTTACCCACAATTAATAGGTTATATTATTTACACTAACTTCTCAAGTCTGGGACACAAAATACATAGTTGTTGTAGTGTAAAGCAACTGTAAAATAGACACAACAGCCGAGCCAAAAATATAGAATAAATGTTTTCAAATGAGCAATGGCATGGCACATGTTCTAAAAATGTAAAACATTTCTGCTACTGTTAAGCTATCAGATATGAAGGTCAAAATGCGGGGATTGCAACTCCTGTTGGCATGTTGGTGACGGTGTTACTGAAAACTAATGTTAGATATGCATGCACATACATGGGCCTGGGTTAGAATGTAGAAGCCTTTTGTTCCATCATCCCATGGGTAGCTCATTTATCATAGAATGGATGGTGGAAGCACTGTGCTATTTAATATATGAAATTACTGATGGTTTACCACTGTTTATCATACTGGGCTAAGCCTCTGTGCAGGAACATACTTAATAGAATACACAAATGCTGTAGTCTCATATGTTGTATTTCATTATTACTTATCTACATTTGTACTGGGTTGTAGACCTTCACTATACCTCAGATGGCAAGAGAGGCCTGCAGATCTCCAAGAAGTGAGAGAGTAAAAGAGATTGAGAAAGAGAAAGAGGTGTGTGTATGTGTGTGTATGTGTTCCTGTGTGCAAGTGTGTGTGTATCTGTGTGTGTTCAGCAGGGCCCAGGGTCAGGCTAAACCGTGATCTCTGCTCCCCTCACCGTGGGGAGTCATGAGGCGGTGAGGAGAGAGATGCTGGGTGAGATCCCAGACTGTGACCTTTACACAGCCTCATCCCAGAGCCTCTCTCTCTCTCCCGCTCTCAGCCTCTCTCTCACAGCCTGCCTGTATAATCATCCAACCCACAAAATGGTGTCCGCTTAGAGAGGGCTTGGCACTCGCCAGTGCCCAGACAGTACCAACTGGGGAAATGGAGAGATCTGGGTGGCGGGGCATGGTGGGGCAGAAGAGGGAGAGAAGAAAATAGAAAGAGGAGAGAGTGAAGAGGGTAAAGAGAGGGAGAGGGAATGTAAAAAAGAGAAGGAGAAGAGGATTAGAAAGGGAGGGATGGGAGGAGGGAAAGAGGAGAGAAAAAGAGAGATGAGAGAGAAAGAGAGAAAGGAGAGAGAGAAAGAGAGAGAGAAAGAGAGAGAGAAAGAGAGAGAAAGAGAGAGAAAGAGAGAGAAAGAGAGAAAGAGAGAGAGAGAGAGGCAGCAGCAGCAGTAACAGCAGCAGGACCACAGCGGATGCTTGCATTGCTCAGCCAAGCATCTGATTCATCCCTCTCAGAAAGATGGAAGAAAAGAGGATTGGATGAGAGGTAAGAGTGGAGGGGTAGTGGGGTAGAAGGAGGGGGGGGGGGTATTACAAAAATGTTAAGAGGGCCCTACAGCTCAGTGGGCGGTCATTAAGCCCCCCTATCAACCAGGCTGATGTGGCAGGGAGAGGGGGAGACACACACAATTAGTAGGGGACGTTTTCCCTCTATGAGAATGCCGTTTGAGATTATTCAAGCTGTACACTGTATATCTGGCAACCTTGAATTACTTGGTTTTTCAACAATGTGGTTTCGCTTATTCCAAGCCTTGTTGAATTAGCATC